GTTCACACTCCTCTTTTTTTCAACGTGATCGTATAACATCAGCTTCTCTGTATTCTGAACAACGCTAGGAGTAGATGTGTTAATATATTAATTTGATTGCATCCATTGGGAATGGGCCCTTCCCCGCTAGGTCATTCAATTTAATTAATTATCTTTTCATTTAGTTTTCTGTTTATTCATTTATTTAGTTAGTTATTTATCCTTAAAGGACTTCCGGGCAGTCTGAATTTTCCAAACTTTTTTTTTTTTTTTTTTTTTTTAACATGGACCTGTCCCTAGCGTAATGAATCTGATGGCGTTCATTTTTGTCAAAATGACCATATTATTACAAAAAACACTGTAAAATTTAAATGACGGTCAGAGTAACAAGCGGAGATACGAGTAGAAAACAAAACGTGGAGATGATTAGGTCAACGTACGGTCAACAAGGGTCGTGCAGATTACCTTTACTGCCACAAATAAATAGATGACAAGATAATGATGAAATGAGCGGGTCGAAAATACCGTATATATTTTACATCATTAAATGCATTAAATTCATTACAATACATTTTCAAATTGATTTTGTGTGCTACAATCGACTACTTTTATAATGAAACAATATCATAAGAAACATTTCATTTTGTAATTTCTTTACTAAAACTTGCGTTTCTTTCCTTAAAGTCCACAAAGGGCTTTATACTGATAACTAAGGGTATCTAAGGATAATGGGAAAACTCATTCTGAGTTTCACTGACCCGAAATTTTGAGACGGGTCTTCATTCACCTGTGAAACGTTAGCAGGACTCGGTTTCAAAAATAACTTAACTCTGAAACCTGGTCTTATCTTTTTAAAAGACCAGAATTATTGCCTTCTTTACTTCAATAAAAAAAGAAAAGAATTCAACTCAAGAGAAAGTTATTAATCTAAAACTTAAAACGTATTTCTAATTATAAAACAGATAATTGGGCTACTGTCGGTTTATCAAAGCTGGCTAAAATATACGGTCTGTAACTTTAGTCCAATATTTAGTATGGGTTTTCTTGTAAAACAGGCTCCAGACAGAAGTGACCTGTGGGCCGTCTGTGCTACCTTACTTGGCAAATGGCGTTGGGTACACTGTCAGATTCTATAAATTGTTTGATCTGTAGATGGTTTCTATGAAAGAGTTTGATCTATAAGGATGGTTCTTTTCAGTAGCGCGTAACTTTTCTTTGCATATTCTAACTGTGAATTTGTCACTTTATCGATACAATATCGAAAACTTGAAACTTGCATGAAAAATCCGTTCACGCCTTAAACACCTTACCTACATTTTTCCCAATATTCCTCTCTAAATTACAATAGTTAAAAATAAGTCACAATCTTTGTCAAAATATTACACCACAAATATGTAACTGCATTTCACTTTGATTTAAAAGCAACTAACGGTGCGTTAATGGCAACAGAGGTAGACATTCACCAGAGGAAAGTAACATGTGAACTCACACCTGCGGCTGACACTAAAATCACCGGTTGTTGCGTCACGAATTCAAGACGGATGATTCTTAAATTGCACAATTGACCAAAGTGTACGACGTTAGTGGTGTCTTTACCACAAAGTCACAATGTCAAATTTATATATAAAACAGCTTTTAAGTATTAATTCCGATCATTCGTGATAAAAATCGCTGTGTAACATATGTAAAAGCACTTTTGGGTGGTCTAATTGAAATCATTAAAATCATAAATTGCCATGTGGTAATTGCTGCCCCCCATTTGGAAATTAATTAATTTTAAGATTACCCCCGCTTAATTATGACGTTAACCGCGATGTGACCATATTTCTCCGAAGAGCTTATACCTTTGGAACAGAATAATTAATGAAACCCAAGATGATATCGCTTGGTGACATATGTAAAGCCCGTTTAATGGCCAACTTTGAGTGGACTATCCGGAACCATGATAATTGTATAGTGGCACTTTGAACCTGTGAAACCCACCTTTCACCTTGTTTCTTAATTAATGGCTCCTTTATTGCAATATTGTACAAATTACTTCAAAGTATTATGAAGGTAGGGTCAGGTCAAGACAGAGATAATGAATATACAGATGTTAAGCCTAGATTACATTTAAAATGCGATACTCGTACGGTGTACGTATACTGCCCGTCATACCCTTTCCGTAAGGCATCTGAGCGGAGGTAGACGGTGGCGGTGCGAAATCGCTCGGAATCGTATAGATATAAGGCCATATAATGTAGACATACTCGGCGTATAGCCCGTAGCTCATTACGATTTCAAAAATAAAATCGCACGGACAATTTCATCGCACGGCGCCCGTGTAAATGTAATCCAGGCTACACACTGTTAAGCGCATGACAAAAAGAAATGTCGGAAAAAATTAAAAAGACAAAAGAAATACTCGATCTCCAAATAACTAACATGTTAATACAGTTTAGATACCACAATAAACAGTATAAAGAGATCAAAAGCAGCGATGACCGCAGCAGCAGGGTGAAAAAAACTCATCTTAAGATTAGAAAGGTGGAAAGGTGGTAACAGGTGGTCATTTTGTTTTGCCCTTTTTCTTGAAAAGTTTCCAATATATAAGGAATAAAGATACTCATCAAATCTAGACATCTTGACTCAGAAAAGAAAGAAAAAATGGTAGCGTATGCGCTGAAGTCCTTAAAGTAGCCTCAACATAAACTTCACCTTCAGCGACAGAGGTAAGGTTTTGAGTGTGGCATTAATTGGACTTTCGAGCGCTATTAACATGGGAAAAATCTTGTACATGTAAACTAATTCTTAAACATGGACAAACCCTGTTTCTTATCAACTCCAGGCCCCAGGACCTAGCCCCTCCAGACACGGAACAAAATAAAACGTCTCTTTCTGCGTTCATATACATGATTATTTCGTTAACAAGTCCCGTTACAAGCTTTCTAGTCTGCTGGCTACCACAGTAGAGTTGCATGTATATAGAAACGCATTCACAATATAGAATCCTTTAGATCGCTTTGAAACCGACCCAAGTGGCGTAGATTATGTCTTGATAATATTGATTGCTATCGTGTCGTTGAATACGTAGCTTGTCGTCCAAACAGTAACACGGAACTTTTCATAGGTGTTGTCAGTAAAAATCCTCATGTTACCGAGTTGATTGCAATAAGTCCAATATTATGCTGTTATCAAAGTCACTAAAATTGGTTCAGATCGAAACCCGTGCAGTGTGAATGCGCCTTCATACGGCAATGCAGAGATGGTTTTCCGTGTTGTATCGCTTATCTACAGAGTCTCAGGGTGGTTGTGGGCATGCCGTGGCCAGTTACTGCATGGTTGCGGTCAAGGGTGTCCAGTTGGGTATGAAATTAATTGTTTTCTCCTTTCTGTACTGCGTCTGCTAAACGCTGAGTCACAGCAATTCTATCTGAATTTTTACACTTATCATTTATGTAAACAAAGCATAATTTTGGCCTGATATTCTACTAAAGAGAGGTGTTTAAGACGGCTGTTAGAATGACCAAAATTAGATTTTAAAATAAATAAATAAGTGAATAAATAAATCAAACCTAATTTGTCCATGTAAATTTTAATTTGTATTTGTGGATAACAAATTGATGAATATAAGAATGCTTGACCCTCTTTCTTGACATGTATAAAGCGATTTTCCAGATATTCGAACAAGATTTCCGGAAAATGTAAGTTACACAACCAGCAAAATACGAGAAGAGCCCTTCTCTATCTATAAACTATGCGTTGTGCTTTCGGGGAAAGTGTTTGGTCACCTGTCTCTTGTCTCCACTGTACCTCTATTTATTGATAGAAAGACCACGATGCTTCCCTCCAACCCCCCTCCCCTCCCCGCTCCCTCACAAAATCAACTACCCGTTTCAGTGTTTGCACGGGCCACGGCAAAACCATTCAAAACGATTAGAGAATAACTCAGGGTAAAGCAGGGTGACAGAGAGAGGTGATATCACCTGTTATTTACTCTAACCACCTCGTAATTACAGTCTTTTCACTCGCCAATATTTTTATTGTTTCTGATAAGGGAGGACAAGAACGGAGGCGTGCTGGTCATGCTGGCGAGATGGCCACCTCTGATGAAGGTGATTGTGGGCAGTGGTCAGAGATATACTGCGATGGTTAACGGTCTGGTCATCAACTGGCTGCTGGCCGTTACATGTCAGGGGGGCAGAGCCGCCTATTCTGTTCAGTCACGAGTTGGTGAAGTTGCCCTTTTCTGTTGGACCTTATACCGTTATAAGTTACTTTTTAAAAATATGGTTGTACGCATGTGGTAAACAATTGCGTTTAATATCATGTTGGAGTGTTTTGTGTTTCTATTCATGGGAATTTTACTGCCAATTTTGAGTCTTTTTTCTTTCTTTTGTCACACGAAGGCGTAGATAGCAGAGCGGGTATTCAGTAAAACATATTATCTCTAAAAATGCCAGTTTCTTTCGTATGGGCCAGACTTTAGTCTGCGGAGGAAATCAAATGTTTCCTTCCGCATATGTCCCATCGTAGGCGATACAGATTCAAAAACCCAGGCAGAAAGGAAAATACCTGGCCCCTAGGTACGGGTGCACCTGCCAATTTATAACCGGATTTGGTACTTGCTCATAACTTTCCATTTCTTCTCTTACTTTATTAATGAATGATAAAAAGCAATATCACCTCTAAACTAATCGTACCTCGTGGGTTTCGGCATAATGCATTTTCAAAGTGAGAAAGAAAGCTCAAAATAAAGAAAGTACAAAATAAACAAAAAAAACGAAGGAAAAGCTGAGGAGATGAGGAAGAAATAAACAAAGAAAGAAAAATGACAGAAATAATTTCTTGCTTAGGTCCCTATGCGCTGTCTCTTTCCCATCGCCAGCAACCGCATTATTATCTATGAGTAATATTTAGGTGGATACGGGCTAAATTACCGGGTATGACTACGTTAATCTCGATGTATTTTTTTATTGGCGAAAACCCGGCGCGTCTTATCCGAACTCTAAATCTGCGAGGTGGGTCGTTTAAGAATTTAGGAACGCAGATTGTGGAGGGTCTTTAAGTCTTAGGGGTTAACAGAGCGCGACTGAGCATAAACAGTTATGAACTGCTCCTTACAGTGAGTCTTATCATTTAAAGAAGAACAGCGTCCAACATAAGACGTAGGGAACGAGCTGACAAGTTATTGGACAAAGTTAACAGGGAGCTTAACAGGGACATTAGATCAACGTAAGGACTGGATCTGTCTTTAAATGGAACCTTTACATGTCAAACCCTCTGGTATACTAGGCACTAGTTCAGGACTCGTTGACAACGAAGGATTAAATTCGTTTAATGTTGACAAAGCAACGACAGCGATCTGGAAAATGGCTGACAATAGATCCAGTACTTCACCAACTCAATTCAGTGACAGTAGCCAAAACGTCAAATCAGCATTTCACAGAGTTAGTGACAGGAAAATGAAAGTTTTACAAGTTGTTACACAAGGCGAGACGATGAACAATAACGGCACAGAAAACTTGCTATCTGCAGTTCAGGCGCAAAATGACAGGAATTCAAATGATCAGAAACATTCGACATCAGGTCTCAAGTTCGGAATAGATAGTATACTTGCCTCGCAAGCAAAAATAAAATCTGCAGCAGAAAAAGATATCAAAGGTAAGTTACCATGAATTAAGCGACATAGTAAAGACAGCATGGTATATATTTGCTTAGTGAATAAGTTATATGCACAATAAAAGAATACAAATGAATTTCTATTTAAAAAATGCTTCATGTAGGACACCCTGGAAGAGACGCCACCAACATGATATTTCAAAGTTAAAGAGCCTCTAAATATATGTAAAATCGTAGGTATTGAATTTAAAACAAATGGTGTGACTGTCAACCAGGGGCGTGACGTGACCCCTTCTCTGTTAAACAGTCGTAAATGTGTTTGTTATGTAGACAAGAGGTAAAAAAAAAACTGGGCACGATTTTATAATTGAAGTTTTAGATGGAAACTTTGTCTTCATTTGAAGGTCTAATTTCGGTCTACTTCAATTCAGGAGAAGTAGCCTAAAATAATAGCTTATTCATTTCTTCTTATCATGCAGACTGACACAATATTTCATTGATAGGAAAACTACTGATTTGTCTTTGCTCAAAGTAGACTTAACATTTTTTGGTCTTAAGTCAAAGTCAACTTTCAATCTTAAGGTCTTTTGCCATAGTATTGTATTTGATATATTATTTGATGTTCAGTATGGTTTTGTATTGTATTTGATATAGTATTTTGTTAAATGAACAATTTTTTTCATTTGTATTTTGCAAACTGTATTTAGGAGTTGAATGTTTTCCCAAAATCCAACGTGCTCTCTCTCTCTCCCTCTCACTCTCTCTCTCTCTCTCTCTCTCTCCAAAGCAGTTCATTGAAAAGAATGAGTTTTTCAGAGTGATTTTTATATAAAATATATAGAAGAGCGGTATATTTTAATTGAAAGGTCTTATATTTCGAGCTACCCTTTCGGTGTCTTTTTCAAATTAGTATTTTACCATTATACGTTGGAACTGTTTCTATCAAAAATAAACTCTTTGCTATTCATATGTGTCACTTTCACTGGTGCTGGAAATATTTTCAAACGTGCACGATATGGGATGATTTGGAAGCTACGGAATTAATTGTGAAACATTTTAAAGTGGTATGGAAATTACTCTATCAAAGTAAAGTCTTTGTCATCCAAGCAGTAGAATAAGAATGTATTTTTTTTTTTTTGGGGGGGGGGTCGTTTGATTTTTTTCTCAGCCCAGTACATTTAAATGTTAATTTGTACCCTATCTTAGACTACGAAACAAGTTACTACATTTTAGTGTCTTGGAAATATATAGCTACAGATATGTGTTCTCGCCAGTTGGTTTGAGATTCAAAATTCGTCGATTTTAAGGGTTTTGTCACAAATGTCTTAAATTGAGTGGAGAAAGGCTGGAAATCTGCAGCTGACCTTGCGGAAAATTCTGTAAATGGCTTAGATCTCTATGTTAACAAGACAAACGTCAAAATAATGCCTTCATTTTCAATTTGTAAAATTCCCTAGGAGCGCCTGTACCCTCTTTCTGTGCTTTTATTTTCTTTGTACTTTGCTGTCTAAATACATGTGCGTATCTCAAATTCAGAATTACGCCTGTGGTTCTAAATTATAATTACTTTTTTAATGTTGTAATAAAAAAAAAACAATAATAATAATAATAATAATAATAATAATAATAATAATAAACATTCATCGGCTTGACAGGAAGTCCCGGTGGTGATCTTCGGTCCAATACATTCACTGCCTCTGCTCTGATATTCTCGACTGTTATGGTGGCCCATTTTACAGTACATGCATTCTTAAAATGCTAGTTTAAATAATTAACCTATCACATTAAATACACAAACGGGTCCAGAACTAATAGGTTGTGGAAAAATGGAAGAAAAGTGTCGTTCGAATGACACAGTGCTCCTGCTTTTGGCACTCTGCAATGCTTTTGCCGTAGCAGTGTACATGTATGATATATGTTTTAATATTATTATTTGTTTGTTTGTCTGTTTTCAATATCCCACACTCACTTGTGTTGATTTATCTGTAGAAAGGAGTGCCATACTGTGATATAGATACTTTTTGAATCAGAGAAAAGCATATATGCATGGTTTCAATTTTTTGTTACACAATATTCGTAATTGGTTTAGAAAAGCACTAGAAGCAATATTCGCAAAAAAGTTTGTTGTGCAAAAATAATAAAATTCAACATTTCTTCAAAATCCCTTTTCTTTAATATTGATTTAGAAACTGAGAGCAAAAAATCAAGATAGAATAATGATTCAACCCACCTTGCTTTGCAGACCTCGAAGAAATCCGAAGAGCAAACGACCTCGAGCGTTTCGCCTCACAGGGCAGCACCAGCCGCGTAGCGGCATCCACAACGCCGACGACAACGTCACCCCTCGCTGGCATCACCCCTCCGTCTCCCTCCAGCCCTATGCTGCCCCTCTCCTCCGCCGCGGCCGCCGAGTCCCCCAGCCTTTTCTCTTCGCTGTATAACTACTGGAGTATGTTCCCGTATATTGGTGCCGGGGATGCTTTCTCTGCGCTGGTTCACCAGAGAGAGGCGATGCTTAGGTTTTCAACAGGTAAACAGATGTAGTGTTTCTGATATTGTTTTAGGTCTCAAAAAAGTCATGTTGGCCACGTTATTAATATTAGTTACGCCTTATAAAATTAAGATAATAAGAGTTTTTAATGCGCACATCGCACGTTACTAGTTAGAGTTGACAGCGGAAAACGTACCCATACACCTCTTGTCAGTAAAAAAACTCAACGCCAAGTAGTTTAAACTATTTTATCTTATTCTATTATTCTTCTTAATTCAAAAAGTAAGGCGAAAACTAACAACACTTAATCGGGGTTATGATACTTTGTTTTGCTATTCAACTAGTTATAAATTTCTAAATATCGCTCTTTTAAAATAATAATAATGCAAATAACTTTAGAACTTAAACGCTTTTTACTGTAAGTGTTAATAAAAAATACGTAGGGTTTACCTTTTTAAACAAACATCAAACAAAAAAACACATTCATATATTTTTCATATATGTCATAAGAATTAACAACTCGTGTGTTTTAAATGATCTTAAGTAACGTAAATAAAATGTTGATACTAATTGATTTTATAGAAATATAAAATATTACAATTTATGATACAACTATGAGGGACAGTTATCCTCAGAAATCAGAAGTATTTATCAATGATGGATGAAATCTTAACCTGTCTAATCTTCTACTAACGTATTAAACCATTGCTCGGTTCATGCGTCTCAAAAACCGCCAAAAGTTAAAAAAAAATTAAATCACCTTTTTTCACAAAATCACTAAAAAAGCAAGCAAAAGGATTTATTTCCTACAGCACCTTAAGCGTGCAGGCCTTACAACTGATGACCTTGTAACTTGTTACCAGACGGTCATAAGGCCAGTTTTGGAATATGCTGCCCCTGTCTGGCACTTTGGGTTAACGAATGAATTGACTGCCCTAGTAGAAAAGTCTCAAGAAAGAGTTCTTAAGATAATTTATCCTGATCTTGAATATGACGCTGCTTGTGAACTTAGTAGACTTGAACTACTGAGTGAAAGACGGCTCCGTGCATGCAAAAAATTGTTTATTAGTATATCAAATGAACCGGATCATAGGCTGCATTATCTTTTACAACCAAAACAAAATGTCAAATATTCATTAAGGGAACAGGAAACATTCAAAAGTTTCAGAATTAACTGATAGATTTTTACTTCTTTTTTTAACCTTGCATTTTAGATATTTTGTTTTAATTTGTTTACATATGTCTTTTAATATTCCTTTATTCTTACTTACTAATGGTTTTATTCAACTATGATGCAATGATTGTAATAATCCAACCCTCGGGTTGCAAGTTTGGTAATAATAATAATAATAATAATAATAATAATAATAATAATAATAATTCACAGTAAACGTTTCACCCTTCTTTCTTGCCTTGAGGTATATTCTCAAAAAACTTGAGATGCTGTAGATTTATTTAGAATTAGAATTAACACGTCTAGAATTTTTTAATCTTCTAACTACATTTATATTATATTTATATTTTAAACAACAAACATATATCGACCTATATATCTTAAATATACATTGTAACAAGCTTTTATTGTATCGGTAAGTCTGGCCTTCGTAAAGCTTTTCACTTACGCACTTATGTTAACAAGGAAAGGATTTTTGCAATGATTAAATCGGTAAATGGAGGATGATAGTATTTGATTTCAAAATTCTAGAAAATGTACACCTAATTTATGTTAAACTTCACAATTGTGTTAAGTCTTATTCCGAAGTCAATTAGGGCTGGGAAAATTTAAATATCGGGTGGACGAAGAAAACGAGTACAAAAAGAGATTGAGAGTAGTATACGCGCGAGCGCTCGTGTGTAAGAAAGCAATTTAATTTCTGGGAAAACTACGATACACTTCTTTCCCGTTTTTTGCATCTTTCTGACTTGTACTTTTTGATTTGTGCGTTAAGCGCGCCAAGGATGTCACGGGCATTGTTGAGATGAAAAGTGTTTTCCCTGAGGAATTTTTTTTTAGTATAACGTGAAATTTTATTAAATAATAATTGAAGATTTTGAGTTATTAAAGTCTAAATACCCGCAAAATGGGTGAAATTCTAAAATATTTCAAAATTCTGCAGATAAGAATAACTATAAGAATTATTTTATCGTGATAAAACTGGACAAATCAAATGATTTATAATTTTTCCTAAAAAAAACTTTTTCTTGTAATTTCCAATCGAGAAATGGTCCACTTTGCTCAGATTTTCCTCTCTCATGTTTGCTTGGCTGAGTTTGCAGGAATTGTAATCCATTCATGAATAAAACTTTCAATTATAAATAGTACTTGTTTATCAAAAACAGCGATTTTTAATAATTGAATGTGTAGAATTTCAGTTTCTATTGCTATGTAGAAGTTCATCATTCGCTTAGATGACAGTATTCCATTGTCCATTTAAAACCTTTTTTTTTTTTTTTTTGTGGCGAAAATATCCTTTTGTGATGAAATTAAAGATTAAGGAAATTATTTTATTTATGGCCAAGAAATTAAAGCTGAAAAAAGTCTAAAAGAGAATTGATACAACTAAGGAACAGATTCTTTTACTTTCGTGCCAAGTCGAAATTGTTTGATCAGGTTATAAACAGTTCAGTTTTGATGAAATGAGTTTTTTTTTTATTTTTCATTGATGACAATTAACAATGAATGGAGCGGTTTTATAATCTTCAAAGGAGGGAAATACAAGTAGGATTTCAGTCTACTCGTAAAAATATGGGGTAAATTTTCACGACTTGTGCTTTTCTATTCATTACCTATTTTTCATATTCAATTTATCAATTTATCATTTATTTCTTGTCTTGTTGTTTATTGATCCTGATTTTGTATTTTAAAGAGAGTATATTTATAACAATTCACCAGACCTTCACCGCAGTGTTGTCTATATAGTGTTACCCACAGGAAGTAGACAGGGGCGTTTTTTGTGGTGGTGGGGAGCGGGAGGGGATTAAAAACCTGGATCCTTTAGTATCGTTTGATACATGCGCCAAATCAGAGACAGTGGACTTTTCCACCCCCATAGTTGATCCAACTTAGCAAGTGGCATAGAACCTAGATCAACTTTTGATTCAAAGGAGACTTTTCCTACCAAAAGGGCGGTTCTCTCAAACCGCCCGAACTCTCCCTGTCTGCAGGTCTGGAAATACTCTTTAAAAATTAATTTTGCAACTTTTGCAACAATGGCCACTGTTTTCAGGGTATTTACATACCGTCAGCCCATCTGCCACGCAGTGGAGGGGACGGGGAGGAGGGGGGGCTAGGCAGACATGTTAACTGTTTAGTCAAATATCAGAGGTTGAGATCTCCCTTGTTAGCGGTGACACGTTTGCGTGCAGAGAACGCTTATTGGGGCGATGAAGATCTCTCAAAATGCAAAATTCATTTGCTGAGGAAAGTTGGCCGTAAACCGTCAATTATGACGACAGATTACGAGTGTTTACAACGCCATTACCGTAATTTGCCTAACTCAGTCGTAATCCGGACAATCTCTTGTGCAGCTATCTCTTGCGGTTTGGCCATTTTGCATATGTCAAACTGGAAGGTGTCGTGAGAAAATGAGACCCTCTCGATCAGGAAACGGCACGTCCTGTCTCCGGTGAACCAAACATTTGCCAACCATTGATTAATCTCGCGTGACATTGCGTGACGGCCGCCATAAAAACTCTACTTTTTCCAACCCGACTTGCTGTAGACGATTTTGTGGTACCTTAGACATTCTCCAAGTGTTATCACACCTTTGGGTTTGTTTCACAAAAGTGTATGTTTGTCCAGAGACTTTCTTTTTATGTCACCATTAAATATCCCATCCTGCAGCAAATTATAATAGGTTTTCTGTTAGCTGTTTAATATTTCAAGTTAAGCTATTTTTTCCCGCTGCTTTGCGTATTCATAACTATGCTAAATTCACAAAAGACATGTTATCATTTTTGGGTGTACGAAGTTCAAAAAGGTTAACATAAATTTTGCAATGGCGGTGCGTAAAAGAGCTGTTTGATTATTTTTTTCTTCGAATCGTCATCACTTCATAACATTTCACAAATGTCGCCATCAATAGAAATGTCCAAGATATGCTCCATGAGCAGTGTATATGATCTTGAATCAGTCGGGTAGGCTACATGTTATTACGCAGACAACCTCTGTTGCATAACGAATACATGCATGAGCATAGTTTCTGACAAAGCCTTGACTTACATGACACGCCGCACGCAGTGCTATTTAAAAAAAAGACAGAGTAAATATCGATATAAATCTGCTAAACTACTTCCAAGAACTTATATTCCTTTAAAAAAATGAGAAACAAGAAAACGTGGCAGACCCGCTGCGCAGATGCTGTAAGACATATTCATAAGTCGTAAGCCTTTAGCATAGGCGTTAGTGGGGTGGAGGGGGTGAAGGTAAGGAAATCCCACACCTCTCTCCACACACACACACACACACACACACACACATTTTTTCCACCACACTAATTATAATCCAAGGAGCATAAGGGCTTAAAGGCAATCTCTCCCGTCATAACTTCTTTTCCGACTAGACTGGTTACATGTACCACCCACAATAAGCACTTGAAATTTGCTTCCAACGTGCCTTGGTATACATAATATATAGAATAAGATGATGCAGACCGTGCAAACTCAAGTGACAGAAAGCTATGTAAAGATGAGATCGTCATTTGTGATGGTTAACGGACGGTCAAATAATCGCATTGGCAATCGACCAAATTGTGTTTTGCTTCGGTCATGCTCAAGGCACGAGGAGCGTCTTTTTTTCTCTCTTCAACATTTAGAGTTGAGCTCCACCTTCCATGGTGTGAACCTTATCTTTTGCTATCTTAAAACAGGTACTTTCTGTCAAGAAGAATAAGATCAATTCGAAAATGAGAATAAATAAATAAATAAATAAATAGATAAATAAATAAATAAATAAAATGTACATATAGTAAAAATAAATACATAAAAGAGACAGATAGATTCAAAATCGAAAATGCAGTTTCTTATTTAACGAACAAAAATACCTCACATAGGGTTCAATGGTATAAATCTTTATGTTACAATACTTGTGAAAAATTGGACTGAACTTGCGTGCACAACTTCGTAAATTAAGTAGTTTCTCTCGGAGCTCTTTATCTCCTGTTCATCATTAATAAGGAAATATTGTGGTATTTCACACTTGATTATTTTCTCTCATCTTAAAACTCATAACGACGTCCTGTTCATTCACTGACTAATATAACGAGAAAGTGTAGGAAAATAAGGAGATTGGATACCAGATACGCTTCCGATAGTTTTCTATTTTTAATCGTGGAAGACTTTTGCGTTTCACCCCACACCCAAACTGCGGTATCACACGGGTTTAATGTGTTTAAACTAGCAGTGGGATAGTGCAGAGGTGTAAGACATTTCTTTTTACATGGACGATACTGTTTCAGTAAGACCAGTATTGGTCAGATAAAACCGCAAATATGACTCGTTTTACTTATAAACTAGTTTGAAAACTTGAATCGCGCTATTGATAATGAAGTTAAGCCTAGATCTCCATTCTTCCTTTCAAATAATATTTAACCCTCCCCCGTTCTATTTCACAAAAGCCTTTGAAGGTTTATTTCTTTCTTTTTTTCAAATTAATTCATCTATTACACCACTTATGACTTCTTTTAAACAACTTCTATGACAAAAACATTCTTTATCGCGAGGTTAACAACACCCCTCCCCTTCCAACTGTCTAAAGCAGCTGGTCTGGTTCAAGGCTTTCTGCTTTGGTACGCACACATTTTTAAGACTGAATACACTTCTGTCCATGTCAAGGGAAACTGCTGCACATATGGTTAGTGCTCTCAAAATGTTGATAAATAAATAAATAAATAAATAAATAAATAAATAAATAAATACAACAGCTGTATTCGGACAGCTTTGATATGTGGTGTATGTTTGTAGCAGGCACTAATGCTGTATATTGAAATTCTGTATTTTCGCTCAACTGTAGAATTTTTTTTGACACCATTTAATAATACCATATGGATATTTACTTCACTTATAAAGTACATGGATAATGTTTTTTAACGAAAACGTGTTTAATTTTTTTTTAGTTGAGGGATTTCTTTTTATAATTAAAGACTGGTTGTCACTTAATTGAAAAAAGAGCGCAAATTTAACGTGCGCATTGTATTGTAGTCAGGCCATAAGATGGCGTGGCAAAAAAGATTCGCGTAGTCTTAGCAAATACGCCCTGATTTGAACAGTTGTCGGTTACAACTCCCGCAAAAAATGATAATAGGTGTAAAAAAACAATAACAAGTCCCGGTGTCTCATGCTTAAACTACTTTGCCATGATAACCAGCCAGACGTGGTTCTCCTCAAGGGGAAACCTCGCCCGGAGATGCTAACCAGGGAATAACAAATGACCTGCCACTTTAAGTGAAGACAGTGGTCGGTTTGGGTGATATCTGCTAGTCATGCTTAGTAATATTGTTGTATATTTTCTCTGTTGTCTCATGTAAGTCCATTTTTACTTCACTTTGTCTACAACTGACTCTTGATTTTAGCCCCCACGAGTACGATATATACTGACTATGATATACTTTTAGTTTTTTCATGACTAAACCGTTGATACGTATAGATATCACACAAGTAAGATACAATTCACATTTTTGTGATCGTATCATCTTGAACAGAGGATTAACAACTGTAGTTGATCAAAAGAAAAAGGTTACGCCTGCCTCGCTATTTAAGCGTAGATTTTTATTTTTTATTTATTTATTTTTTTTTTTTATTATTATTATTTTTTTTTTTGTCTTGGATTCCACCACGCATTCCATTTGGTCATGTTAGGAGTCAACAGAGAGACCACCTCAAACAAGTCAAAGATTACATTAGTTCCACTGCAAGTATTAGGATGCAAATAATTAAAAAAAGTAAATGAAACTGAAAAAAATTAAATTGTTTAGCAAACAATAAACAACGGAAAATATGCAACAGTCCGTGAGCAAGATCATAATCACATAATATATGGGTGTCCTTGTCCTGGGTTTTAGATGCAATAAATTTGACGTCCAAAATTCGCGTCAAAAAAATCATCTCGACAGNTTTTTTTTTTTTTTTTTTTTTTTTTTTTGTCTTGGATTCTACCACGCATTCCATTTGGTCATGTTAGGAGTCAACAGAGAGACCACCTCAAACAAGTCAAAGATGACATTAGTTCCACTGCAAGTATTAGGATGCAAATTATTTTAAAAAGTAAATGAAACTGAAAAAAATTAAATTGTTTAGCAAACAGTAAACAACGGAAAATATGCAACAGTCCGTGAGCAAGATCATAATCACATAATATATGGGTGTCCTTGTCCTGGGTTTTAGATGCAATAAATTTGACGTCCAAAATTCGCGTCAAAAAAATCATCTCGACAGTGTAAAGGAACCGGAACGGTACTTGTTTGAGAAATTCGAGACAGGCGCCAAAATTATTCCATCACAATATATTAATAATTTTAAGCTTAAAGGCCTTCACTGTTTGGTTTCTGAATATGACTGTAAATACGCAACCAACAGGTTATCGTGGTTATCTAATCCTGATGTGTTAATATTTGGTTACTAAATATAAGAATTGGTTAATACCAGTCTTCCGTCTACCAGGAACTTAATTAAACCAACGATATTAAATATATACATTGCGTTCCCATCATATCATTACAAAACACGGATCTCATTTACTGAGATAAGAAAAACAACAAGAATGCCATGAAGAGACGAGAAAAAGTCAAATTTAATCGGAAATTTATACAGATTATAATTAATTTATTCTACTTTTTTACCCATTGCATGTCTTAAAATTATGTAGCACCTTTTGCAATTTTGATGACATGGAGTACAAAGTAAATAAATATTTTGCAATGAAGAAAAATTAAGTATACCTTTAAAAATAATTAGCCTTGAGCAATAGGCTCTCACCAAACTCAAGAGCAATGGAAGACAAGAAAACGATCATTTGAGCGTTTATAAACACTGATTCATGAAAAAAAATTGTAGCTTATGGTTAGCCAATGAGGCAGACAGGCTGTCACATTGATGATGTAGTCCCCTTTCCCCATCTCTCTCTCTCTCTCTCTCTCTCTCTCTCTCTGACAAAGGTTAACGAACTAAGCTAAGCGCAATATAATAGACCCGCTAACAACGTACGGTTAACGCCCCGTTTTATCTGTTGTCACACATTTTGGGTACACAAGGAACGGACACTCCGTCTGTTGTCACGCAAACGCGTGATAGGCCTACCAGTGGCCACATTCACACTAGTATTAGACATATTGATCTTAGTGACGTTAGGTCCAGTTCAGTGGAAAATAACCAGACAATGTTAGGCAACCTAAACCCCAAGAAAACACATGCTCCATTCGAGCCAATCTGGCGGTCTGTCGCAAACCCTTTAAACCACTGTCCTGGGGCCAAAACCAAGCGCCTGAAAACGTGCAGAAAAACATCATTGCATTTATAAAAGGGACCGCCTTTTTTTCAAAAATAAATAGATAAAATTTATAGAATTTTAAAAATTGGTGAAAAGTTTGAGGAAGGTCGTTGGAAATCCGTGAAAGGGCTTTTGGCGTTACTAAACCCGAGTCAAGAGTAACTGCGCTTACAGCTCTAAACACTGGTCGCTAGATCTGGTCCAGATATTTAAGATACGTCTCCGTTTTTGTTAGTTTCACCTGTTTAAGATTTGACCATTAACAGTCATTTTGACGGTGGTCAGCCTTCTCTGCCCATCAATCATATCATTAACCGGTCAGCGAACCGGTTATAATGTGTACTGCTAGTCCAAGAGGGTTGTCGACGGCCTTATCGAGATGAAAACATTTCAATTACAGAGGCACCAGATACAAGCTGATTGTATCTATTTTATTTATCCCGGTCTGTAAGTTCCCCGGGCATCTAACGTAGTGGTTGTTTACCAAGATATTTTAATCGAACAGGCTTGCAATGCGATTATAATATCTTATAATTTTGTCCTCATTTTGAGAGACAGCGCTTGGGGTTTTCGGTTAATTCGGTTAATTGCGGAAAGACCTGAAATGGCCGTTTTAATTTCCTGCTCTTTAAATTTATTCAACCGTTTTTTTTTTTTTTTTTCATATATCTATTGATATTTTTGAATAAAGAAAATTCTGGGGACTCAGACAAAATAATATTGTTCACCAAATAATTGATAAAGAGGCATTTAAGATAAAACAGACAAATCAGCGATACGTTATTTAGACAAACAAAATCTGGAAAAAATCTCAAAACTTATGAAATATAGCTTTGTTTAAACTTGTCATGATATACGTTTAAAAATACGCTATTTGACGATAAAAAGAAAAGAAAGACGATATTGTACAATCTTTTTTCTCACAGCTAAATTAACCATGAACTATTCAAATTCCAGTTTCAGACATTACAAAGCAAACGGCCCTCCCACCCTCAGTGACGGCGTCCATGATGGATTACTACAGTCAACTGCAGGCGGCGCCACTGAGGAGCAAGAGGCTCTGGAAGCGCACCGTGTATACGCCGGAGCAGAAGCGCTACCTGGAGTCACAGTTCCAAGCTCAGAAATTCGTGGATGTTTTTGAGAGACGGCGACTGGCGTTTGTTCTGGGACTCACCGATGAAAATGTACGTTAATTGAGATGGAATAAGATGATATTATTATTCATTTTTCTCCGTGTGTGATACCTTCGCCTTCTCGATGTTAATTTATTAAGCCCGATGTTTCCAATATAATCTGGCTTTATTACCGTCAACCAGAGCCAAAGATTGATTTTTTCGCTAGCTAGATCTAATGCTTTGTACTTTTCTTTACTGTGAAACTTTTTGCATAGAATTTATGTCACCACTCAACAGGCCTCTAGAAAAGAGAATGGCTAACTACTAGTATGTTGTAAAAAACCTACACGATTTTCAACTTCTTTCAACATTCAAATTGGGTTCTAAATAAAACCCTCAAAACCTTCATCAGCCAATAAATCAACTATGTTATTGTCATTTTTAGGTTAAAGTATGGTTCCAAAACCGTCGCAAACNTTTTTTTTTTTTTTTTTTTTTTTTTTTTTTTTTTTTTTTTTTTTTTACTTTTCTTTACTGTGAAACTTTTTGCATAGAATTTAGGTCACCACTCAACAGGCCTCTAGAAAATAGAATGGCTAACTACTAGTATGTTGTAAAAAAAACACACGATTTTCAACTTCTTTCAACATTCAAATTGGGTTCTCAATAAAACACTCAAAACCTTCATCAGCCAATAAATCAACTATGTTATTGTCATTTTTAGGTTAAAGTATGGTTCCAAAACCGTCGCAAACGTTGGCGCCGGGCCCTGATGCAGGGAGACGGATCACTGAAAACCCTTGACAGTCTTGAGGACTACCGCAAATTCCAAGCCCAAAGAAACAGCGTCGACCCAGACGACATGGAGGAGGTTATTGAGGACGAAGATGAGTGACGTCAATGCACACGCAACAAGGTTCTTTGTCCTCTGCAGGACGATTACTTTAAACACAGCGTTTTGACGAACGCCGTTGATGGATGCCCAGACGACATAAATGGCACCAACGTTTTCAATGTCAAGGACAAATACGTCTAGGTCAAGGGCAGTGCCATTACTGAAGATGTCCGAGGGTTCCTGCACTGCAAAAAATTCCAGGGGGGGCACGGAAAAAGCATCCTGATACTGTCTATACCTCAAATGGAAGGATGTCGTTAATTTAAATGTTAGTGTCAGTACCCGCGAGCTTTAAGTCTTAACAATTATTCAAAAGGGCAGACAAAACACTTCATTGTCCTTTCTTGGTAAAGTTTTACAAGAGCATCTCAAAAGACAGAAAAAAAATTACAGAGAAAAGCACATCCAAATTACCAAAGTCGTTATAGTAGTTGCAGTACTGATAACACTGGTAAAGATGCAGGAATAAATATCTTAATGTTTACAGGTGATAAGAAACCTGAAATGCTATTTATCCAGCCTGTTAAAGCTTTAATCACCAGTTATACACATCAAATTCCAAAGAAATAAACAGGCAACTTGTACATAATCATACATGCTTTATAGAGGCTAAGGAAGCAGAGCTTTAATTTTAGATTAGGTATTTATATGCATCCTCCAAGGTTGCCGAAGTTGGCATCATTGCAGATGGGCTTGGTTTTAAGGGCCGTTAGTTATTTCTTCACTCTACTCCTTTTCTTCAAATACCCTGAGAGCTATTTATATGTTTTGGTGTCATCATATTTTAGACAAGAACACAGTAAAATTCAAAAGATAACACTGAAATGAGCTGCTTTGGAAATTTGGGAAATAATTTATGTATCCAAAGTACCTCATTTTAGTACAAAAGGCATACTGTTAATAAAACTTGAAGACAGATGACTGATAATTGTATATACCAAAGAATATATTATTTTTGTTGTAAAAATGAAAGACATTATATACTTGTAATTACATATATACAGTATATACAATGTAAAAAATAAATGTATACATGAAGAGAGAAGCAGGCAAACAACTAAAAGTTGACTATTTTTGTTTCAGAAATTAAAGTTTCACTTTCATGCAGTTTATGGTAATGACTTGCTTTTCTTTTTTGGGGAACATTGTGAATTTTGCAGATACAGTATTTACTAAAGTCAAATTCTTCTCTACTGAAATAATAGAGTCATTATCGTATTTTGTTTGTGCATGCATATTATTAAACCAGTTACATACAATGTAAAATTATATATCATAATATTTACATTCTTAATAACATGTACATAATAACTCAAAAAGGAAATTAAATACTTCAATTGTTCAATAAACTAACATTTAAAAAAATTCACAAGAACCTATCTTGTTATTTATAACTGCAACCATATATTGGATGGATAAGATATTCCTGAAAGATTTTTAATAAAAAAATGCTTATCAATAATAATTTAATAAAATTTCAAATTGTACTACTTCCAGGTGTGGCATCCAATGCATGGATATTGGGACTCTTATAACACCCATGTGACAATAAATGCAAAACTATAGTCCAAATACTTACAACACTTAGAGATTCAACAAAAGCTGAACAAAGTTAGTTAGGCAGCAGATAATAAAGTGCTTTGTATTCAGATCAATTTTCACAAGAATGTGCTTTAAAAAAAATGCTAGCACAAATTTAAGGTACAATTAAATGCTTTACTAATGGTCTTTCTATTAATCTGGGCATAACTTCTACAACTTCTACCCCTTTTATTGAAGTGACTCAAAGCCCCATGATTATAATCAAAAACCGCACAGTGAAAGTATCGTGTGAAAATACCTAGCCAGCAGATACAAATAATAGATGATTGTCCTCAACAAGAGAGAGATGGCCAAGATAGCCATGTAATATTAACCTTTGCAGTACACCAGGCACGCAAGACAGTGCTGGGTTAGGATATCTGACCTTATGTGAAAAACAAATGATCGCTTAATGATAACAACACATCATGTGTGTTTTAAGGACAACTGATATATAAACATCAACAAAGAAAACACTTCTTAAGAAAATATAAAAACAATTTGACTTTTAAATTTCATAAGAGTCATATCTTAAAGATAATACCAATACATGTACTATGTTCTGATGTCTGAACCTGGCATCAGGCATTACTCTTCAATGGTGGAGAGAATGGCTTCCATGTAGCCCTGCTGTTGTTCTTTCCATGGACTTCCACAGCCTTTGGTCTCCACTGTGCTGTAGGCCTTCTGCAGCTTTCTTAACATATTGCTGTTCTTTAGTGTGGCTTTGGCCTTCAAAGAAAGATTCAAAGATACAGTGTGTGTGTTTGTGTGTGTGTGTGTGTCTGTGTTAAGCATTCAAGTGATGTCTCCTTTTTTCATCACTTTCAATGACCACACACACACCTACCTGTGAATTGTGAATTTTAATTTAAAAATGTGAAAGTTTTGATATTTGAAAAATTTTTAATGAATGTCTTTTCATTTCTACAATGTAAATCACTTCAGAAAACCAAAACAACTTGGACTGCATAATTCTCTCAATTCCGATATCCACTTTAAGAACTGTAATGTTGGTAGGTTCGCTATGTCTAAACTTCGGATTTGGACCAGATTTAGTTTTTCTTTTTTTACCTTTTGATTATTATAGACCAGAGCCCAGAGTGCAGACATCGCAACAGTGGCATCCCCGACATCAAGGTTGGTTTCCAGGTACCTCAGCAAGCAAGGCACCACTTTCTCTGAAGATATAAAAAATAATAAAATGAAACAGTCTTATATCAACTGAATTCTGCATCATTTCTGTGCTCCAAAATATCAGGGTACAATAACACACAGTGCTGAAAATAAACCTAAGTGTCTTTGTTCATATCACTGACTCAATGTTACTTAGCATTTCTAAATTAATCAAAATGCCCAGTTTTCACTTCTAATGATTTTTTGCCAGTGGTATTTCTCAACTCATATTAAAAGTAATTGTTTTTTTAAGTGTCTTTGTTCATATCACTGACTCAATGTTACTTAGCATTTCTAAATTAATCAAAATGCCCAGTTTTCACTTCTAATGATTTCTGCCAGTGGTATTTCTCAACTCATATTAAAAGTTATTGCGGAACATGTTATAGATTTCATAAACTTCAAACAGAAAAAAAAGTCACATCAACCAAATTAATTTTTTTAAAGAATAATCTATTCCTACTTTAAAAACTCATTGCCCACTCACCATTTCCCAGAATCTTGGGTTTATTGGCAGAGTGATGGCACATGTTTCTCAGAACCATCAGAGCACTGGAGGCTGCCTGGCTGTGCTCAGACTCACAGAACTCCAGTAATAGAGCCAGGGAGTCTAGAATGGAGGCAAGGTATTGCTATGTCAGGCTCTGTACCATTTCACATATTGTTGAATAAAAGAGTTAACATACCTAGCCAACTAAACCAAAATAAGATAATATGTAGATATTAAATATAATAATAATAATAATAAATAAATAAATAATAAAATGATAATTTTATACTTTTACTTTTTTTTTCCACGGAAATGTGTATGTGTGTACATGCATGCGTGTCCATGTGTGAGAGCATATGTGAATGGAATGGTTAATAAGAAATATGTAAGCCCAAAGATCAACTGAAAACAGATAGATGCACTACAAATCAGAAAGACAAAGAAGACAGGGTAGCGAGAAAGTACTTCTGCTTTCCAAACTTGATTAAAGTATGCAGGGATGAGACTGCCACTTAGTGAAAAATTAAAAAAAAAAATATGGCTTGGGGTCCAGAAGAGTTTGGCTCCCAAAAAGTCGGAAAACCTCATCCTTGAGTATGTGTCTGTGGCCTTACCCCCCATCTTTAATATCATCTGTTGTCCATCTGTGGTGAAGGAGAGGTTGACCAGCAGCTCCAGCCACATCACGTCCAGGGCCTGCTGGACCTTGGTCTTGCTGGGCTTGAGTGGACAAAGAGAAGAGAACCTGTGGAAGAAATTGCTCTGAAAGAAAATTAAGGTCAGGTAAATGGATAAATACAAGCGAACAACAAACAATAAATCTGTTACCTCTAAATTAAACAAGTACACAATGAGAGGAAATCCATATAAAATTGCAGCAAGCATTAATGAGAAATATTACCTAGTATTTTACAAAATTTTAGTGTTATAATCAAAAGCTGTAAAAACAGGAATGGAAAAACACCAACTAAATTCAGACATGATTCTGATTTGTATTTAAAAATAAGAAATAAGTGGCTGGGTGGATTTATGACCAAGGATCAGGGCACTGCTGAAATCTGAAAAACTACCAAGAAAAATAAATCAGATTTCCTATTTAAATGGAAACGAAAACAATGTCTATTAATGGTTAAACGTTAAACACAAATTTCCCTTCCAATTTCTCTGTCAATTACCTTCCACATAATCCCTCTGCACTCTGAAGACAGAACAATATTGGACAGTATGGCAAACAGGGTTCGAACCATGGACAGGCTTGTCTTGGACAGTCTCTCACACTCCCTGGTGGTGAGTTTCAGCAGACAGTGCACCAGTGAGTTATTGTTGTGTTGTGGCTTGGCATTGGGGAGGTCCACTGAAGACAGGGCAGAGGTCAAGGCCAGGCTGCTGGCAGCTACAGAAAGATACATAATCAACCAATTTATTGATGCAGATTTTCTTTGTGAAATAATTGAAAATGACTATTGGTTGAATTTATTCTTCTTTCCTCTTTCCTACTATTTTAAATCCTCTAACAGAGAAATATTAATATCTTTTACCTTCAGTGTAATGTGGTTAATCTTTTCAAGTTTACTCAAAGCAATATTTAATTTTTTGACAGCAAAGTCTTGTTTTACCTCTTAACGCACATGGAGAATGTGCCATGTGTTCATGTGCTAACTTTCATTTAGCTGCTCCATTTATGGATAAAATATTGTAGTTAGATAAGACATGACATACAGCCTTCGTGAGAGATTGGTCCATGTTACACATTGTATTTATATTCTAACGCTTCCTACCTGCAAGACATTTGGCTGTGTAGTTAGCTAGGACATGAAGCACAGCATTCATGAGAGCTTGGTCCACATGACACCATCCCCACATCTGATGTAACACTGAACTCAATCCACTGAGCTGTGCTGCAGTCTGAAAAATAAGCAGCAGACGATGACATTTGTTGAAAAATGACTGCCTGACAAAAACATAATACCGAGTCAGACACTCTCTGTGCTGCATGTGTGATTCTGTTTTCAGCTATGATGGAAATTTGCTGCTTTTAAGTTCTGAGGCAAAAGATGAATATCTATATGTATAACTTATTTATTACTTTCAAGTTATTCAACATAAAAATTATATATTATGAAGATGTTATCATACATTATTGGCAAAGAAAGAATGTTGCAACATGTTTTAACATAAATTTGCCCATACCTTCACTTCAGCTTGATCATGCATAAAACTTCTAAGAAGTTCAAGAGTAAGCACCATAGACTCCAATAGAGGATCATCCTATAAGAAAGATACACAGAGCATAGGGTCTCTATTTCTTATTTAAATTATGACTCACATTTCACCATTATATTTTAGCTGGCAAAATGAAAAAGACATGTCAAAAAAACTTTAAATGCCTAACACTGGGTTACACAAATTTTTATGACTTCATCTGGTCATTCGTAATGACACAGCTAAGCATTAACATCACACAAGCAATTGCATCACAAATACATGGTTGAAAGTTATAAAAACTGAAAATCCTGAAAACATAACTTGCAATTTCTCATTGCATTTAGACCATATGAAAAAAAAAACTATCAAAATGAAGACAGAAAATCCCAAAATCAGGCATAATACATGATCTCTCTCCGCCCTGTTAACACTTTAGTCCAAACACTCACATACACATTCACTCTTCTCACCTTCTTCCTGCCAGATGTAACTTTCCCAATCTGCAAGGACTCCATATTTAATTGGTTGTGTAATTTTCTTAAATGCTCCATAAGAATCTCCATTAGTCCAGCTAAAAACAAACCAATGAAATCAGTTTAAAGTTAACTTAAAGGTTTAAAAAATTTAAGAAAGAAGGTTTAATTTAAAAAAAAGGTCAGATCATACCGTCACATTTAATACTGGTTTCAATTACAATTATGGCAAACTCACCTTCTAGTGCAGCCATCTTGGCGGTGGCACATTGGGATAGGAGGGACCTGAGCGCCACACTGATGTGTCTTGTCCTGGCCTCCAAGTGAACAGTGACATTCTTCACCACCACCGTGTCATATAATTTAATGAGAGCCTGGCTCAAGATTGCACCACTGGTGGGGGAATCTTCACCTTTTTCATTTTTCCCTTTGAGAATGAAAACCATTCATTTATTATTTACTGTTTTCCTTTATATCATTGTTTATATATATTGCAACATTTGTATAGTTTCATACACTCATATAATGATTGTGAAAAAAATGCAGTTTCTTCCTTATGAACATCAATGTAAGATTATCAAATACAGGGTTTATGAAGAAACACCCGTACCTATCCATAGGTCAATTTAACAGTTGCTTAAAAGAATTTAAAACCCTATATGAATTTAAAAACCTATAAGAATTTTAAAACCTCTTTAGTCTATGTTAAGGTCTAACAGTTAACAAGTCATGCTTACCCCCAGTTTTGTCTAGCATGGACAGTATAGATTTCTTGTGACCTAATTTCTTGACATAACTTTCTTGGATTTTGCCTTCCTCACAGAGGAGAACAGTGATAAAATTCAGGGCTGCATCTTGCACTTCTGATGGTGATCCAGAAAATATTTTTGCCAGAGAACCTAAATTTTTATACAATAACAGGTTAAACTAGAGGATCAGGGGGGCGATACCGCCTCCAGATATTGTACCACCAGCTGGAGTAAGCGCATTCGTATGGACCCCCCCCCCTCCTAAAAGGGACACCATCACCAGTCTGGTGTTTGACAAGCTCTATAAGATGCAATCAACAAGAGTTCTCAAAATATGCAAAAAATATAACTAAAAATGATACAATCAAGCAGATTTTCAAATTGACTTGCATTTTCCTACCCTTGCTCACTACTGTATTCTCTAGACAAAAGGCCTATTGGTTTTCCTTGAAATGTGTTGTCAATGGTGCATATATGCTGACAAAAGAGAAAACCTAGGGGAAACAATGGGCACATCTCTGCTAGATTTAAAGATATGAGAGGCAAGAAAATATGCAAAGCTCAGTTCATGGTGAAAAAGTAGGTCAAAGGTCAATTTCAATATCATAGTATATGAATTTCTATTCAAGTTCAATAGCAACCATGGACATTTCTTTGCCAATTTTGCAGATTTAAAGGCCAGAAAACATGCAAAAAGCAGTTCATCATAAAAAGTAGGTCAAAGGTCAATTTCAAGGTCACAGATTGCTAGTGTATTACTTCCTATTCAAGTTCAATAGTAACTATGGACCTATCTGTCAGTTTTGAAGATAAAGGTGAACGAAAATTTGCTAAGTTCAGTTCATAGTAAAAGGAAGGTCAAAGGTCAATTTAAAGGTCACAGTAAATTGCCAGTTCATGACTTCCTATTTAAGTTCAATAGTAACTATGGACCTATCTCTGCCAGTTTTGGAGATTAAAGGGAACAAAAATTGGCAAAGTTCAATTCATGGTGAAAAGTAGGTCAAAGGTCAATTTTAAGGTCACTGATTAATTGCCAGTATGTGACTTCCTATTCAAGTTTAATAGTGACTATGGACCTATCTCTGCCAGTTTTGGAGATTAAAGGGAACAAAAATTGGCAAAGTTCAATTCATGGTGAAAAGTAGGTCAAAGGTCAATTTTAAGGTCACTGTTAAATTGCCAGTATGTGACTTCCTATTCAAGTTCAATAGTAACTATTGACCTATCTCTGCCAGTTTTGGAGATAAAAGGGAACAAAAATTTGCAAAGTTCAGTTCATGGTGAAAAGTAGGTCAAAGGTCAATTTCAAGCTCACATCTAGATTGCAAGTAAATGACTTCCTATTCAACTTAAATAATAACTATTGACCTATCTCTGCCAGTTTTGGAGATATAAGGGACTAAATGTTACAATTCTGAGTTACAAAAATGTGCCACCACAAAGTACTTTTTAATACAGCATAACACGAAAACCGTATGAAATACAAAAAAACGGAGACCACTCTCAGTGTTGGGCTTTACATGCTCTACAAAATGCAAAAAAGAACGGGTCGCTAGCATTAACGGTTCCCGAATTAGAGACAGTTTTCATTTTCGGTATTTTATGGCCGCTACTCCTGTGAAAATGCACCGATTGACCCCAAATTCACAGAGATGAAAGATGACCCAAAGGGTAACACTTTCCAATATAATTATTGGTTAAGTCTGTGTAGTGTCTGAATAACAGTGCAAATAATATTTTTTTTCGTAAAAAATTTCATTTTTTTGAAAATTTTGGCCCGTTTGACCTTGAAATAAAGGTCAAAGGTCAAATCCAAGGGCATATTTGAAATCTACACATATGACTTTTGGAAAGCCGTCTGTAGAAAATTTTCCCATAATTCCTTCCGTAGGGTAGATAATTGGCATTGAATTTTCAAAAATTTTGACAAGGGTGCATTTCAAGGAGCGTCACGCCCAGGTCAATGTACCGACTGAGACAAAAAAACCTGGGGGTTCAAATTGAGGTTATATGTGACCTAAATCCAAGAGATGGGGACAGGGGTCCTTGCGGTCTAGGAGGAGAAGCGGTAACGGTGACTTGTATCCGGCGCCAGTACGCGGAGCCGGCGGAGCTTACGGAGCCTGCGGAGCCGGACGAGCCGGACGAGACGGGTCGGGACTAAAACCATGAGTACCGCCAGCGTACACGCTGGTGGTACTAATAAGATAACATCATCTGGACAAGTTTGTTTACAGAAGAAGTATTTCTGACTTATCACACTCACGCAATAAAATATGATAAAATTGTTACCTTAGATCAGCAAACTTTTGATTATGTAATTGAAATGTTTAGATTTCATTACCTAGTGATAATCTACTGATTTCAAAATTTTTCCACATATTTTCCTTTTTCCTGTAAAATGCTTGCACAACATTACTGATCCAGCTTTCTCATGCCCACAGTCTCTTTTTTGTTCCTTTAAATTGCATGTTCTTCCAGCTTTAAGTCATCAGAGAAGCCTATCTTAAACTTCAAAATGACTAAAAGTCAATTATAAAGCACACCTGCTAATATGTCCCATTGCTTTACACATGCTTGAGCAATGTTCAGGAACCCTTGTTGCCCAGAGTGCTGCAGCAGTGATATCAGGAAGTTATACACAGCTGTCTGGAGGGCCTGGCACTTCTCTATAACAATAGGATCTGAAAACAAAGTTAATATCAAAAGTTAATATAACGTGTAAAAAGAAACAGAAACCTAGTACAATCAACGTAGACCTTATAGAAATTGTCATACAATCAAGGTGCCTGATTTTTTTATTTTACATGTATATGTCAAGCTATCATATTTTTCGTTTCATCAATCTTTTTTATTAATTCAATGAATTTATGCTGAAAATATGTAGAAGTTTACAAACACACACCTAGACAAATATATCACTCTGGTAAACACAAGCATGCTCACACACACAGTACCTGTAATATTATACTCCAGCAGCCTAAGAGTACCGTCCAGTATGACTGCCTCCTGCAGTATCTCCTCCCTGACCTCAGTGTCCAGTTCACAGCAGTGAGTGACCAGCTGTAGGATACTGGTGTACATCTCCACCAGACCGACCAGGATGACCAGCTGTCGCAACATCCCCTCATCTTCACTGGACCCTGAGGAGGGGGAGGAGGAGGGAGTTTTGGATTGCTGCATGTCCCTGGTGTACACTGCTAATAAATCAGGGTCCGTCAAACTGAAATGATAAGGTGGACATCACTGTAACTATTTATCTATTTATTTTTTCCATCAGTTTGCTCATCTATTTGTCTATTATATAACTAACAAACCTACATTTTCCATTTTTTATTTATAGTAAATAACAAACTTGTATAATTCTTTATTCATCTGTCTGTTGATTGATTGATTTTTTCATTCTACTATAGATCTATCTGACTCATTAATGGTTCTACTAGTAAACAGTTTATAAACCAGTTTATTAACTTCTAACCAATACCTGACCAGTGCCCTGAGCAGCCCCTCCTTCTTCAAGCAGTCCAGGGTGTCCTGGGGCATTAGGACCACCAGGTTGGTCAGAAGCTGACTGACCGCTGAGACCAGGGAGGGGGTGGCTATACTCTGGTAGTCCCCAGCACTGCCCCTGGACAGGTAGGTGGACGGACTGCTGCTGTCTGCTGATGACAAAGACATATCAGATATTAATCTCTCTCTCGTGTGCCTGTGTGTGTCCATGTGCGTGTGTGCATGCGCACGTGCATACATGTTTACTGTTTCTGGATCAATATATTCTGCATAGGTAGTACATCTTATTGTTTCAAAAAAAACTAGTCAGTTGTGGCTAAATTATGAGCCAAGATCCAAATATGAGCCAAGATCTTTAAATTATCTCTTTACCTTTACCAAGCCTCTACCCTGATAATCAAGTAACACTCATTTTTAAAAAAGACCATGTACCCTTAAGTCCAGTGTTAAGTCTTACCAGGTTGTCCACTAGAGCCAGTCACAGGAGAGTCATGGTGTGAGCTGTGCTGAGATGGGCTACTGTCTGCCTGTTCTACTATCACAGCGTGGACTGCAGGGCGCCCAAACTGAGTGGCCACTCCAGGAACAGGTGTTCCAGACTCTGGAAGAATGCAAGTTGACAAAAAATTATAATTACACAATGTCATTAAATTATATTGAAAAGCATTATCCTCTTCTCTATAGATGAACTATATCAAATTTGGTAAACAGAAAATGTTTAAATCATTTATACATCTACATCTTTATACACCATTTCAAATCTAATGAGATTTCAAGTGAAGTAAAGATAGAAGCTGGAGAGCTATAATTATCCCCTACCTCCCTTCCCCACACTTTCACTCAATTTGGAGTGGTAAGAGCAGATACAAAGTTTCAGATGAAGGAATCTCATGTAAAGATGAAGTAGAATCATTCACAGTGAGGCAGCAATCAACATATAATCTTCCACGAACTGAGGATGGCTGCTGGAATTTGGAAAGTCACAATACTCTCCCCGACCACTCCTATCCCTTCTCTCAGACCTACCTGAAGTAGTGAGAGTGGACTGGGAGGCTGTGGACACCTGTCCAGGTGAATTAGAGGCCACTTTGATGGGGTGGACAGTGATATAGGGGTAGTAACTGGACAGTAGGACCACCATCTCCTGGTAGAAGTGACTGTGGTGGAGGAGGGCCATCAGGGCTGAGGTCCCCACCAGCGCCACCTGGAGGGAAAAAGGAAAACTTAGTTTGAACAGCAATATCTTGGCTGAGCTATACTGGTAGAGCTGCTTACTATAGGCAACTATAGGCAAATTTAAACTATAAATGAAATCAGTTTTTGTGTTCACTTCTGTTGTACATTGTTGAACGTGTGTGCGTGCGTGTGTGTGTGAATAGTAGTACAATTCGAGAATATATATGTTGTATAAAAAATCAGAACCTCCATATCAATTTTTGCAAATGAACAGTTAGAAATGAAAGATGATGGATGAAACAGTAAGCCTAGCACTAACAAAACTCACCTTTTTAAAAACTTTTTATAAATTACTTATTCATTACCTGGTTCTGTGGGCTAGTAATGACAGGTCCTTGCCATATATTAGCTCCCAGTTCCACACTGCCACTTGGCATAGTATCAGAGGTGAGATTGACCAGCAATAAGGCAGCCTGGAAGAGGTACATCAGACACAGTGAGATGTTGATATTCTACAGGGCCTGGCATAAGCTGCTTTAAACAGAGTTTTACAGACCTGCCAAGATGTTACATGTGAGCTGTACTTGAAATCTCAACCACAGTCAACTTGAAAACATAACATAACAGATGCCGTACCTGTTGTCTCACCATGCTACACTCATAATGGTCCAGGAGAACAGAAAAAGCTGCTCCCCAAACTCCACCAATCAGCTGTTGGCAATGTGTTGTCATGGTGATACGGCCCGCCTCTGTGCTTGTCAAGGCTACAGCTATGCCAAGACCTGCAGCACGGACCTGAAGGAAACCATGACACTGATGAAGTTAACATGAAAACTGAAACTGATTGACTTAAGACTGCCAAAAATCAACTTGCTGATCGGACATAACCCCCAAAAGATGGGTCACCGTACATCCACAGCAGTATCAGCCAGGTGTAGATAGGCAGCGCAGTTAAGTATACCAAAACAATGTGACTACCTCATCAGGTGTATCAGCCAGCTGTAGGCAGTGTAGTTAAGTATACCAATGCAATGTGACTATCTCACCTCTGGGTCTCTGTACGTCCACAGTGGTATCAGCCAGTTGTAGGCAGTGTTTGTAAGTATACCAATACAATGTGACTATCTCACCTCTGGGTCTCTGTATGTCCACAGTGGTATCAGCCAGTTGTAGGCAGGGTCTGTGCTGGGGTGTTCTGGGAGCTGCTTGGTGAACAGCCAGCACTTGGGCCAGTCCTGGAAAAATATTCCAACAGTGAAGACAATTCATGGAGACAATTCATAGAAAGAGAACAGAACACCTTTTTATTTCCCTTAAAATATAAAATATTTTGTTCCATATTAACAATGAAATAAAATAATGATGCATAAATAAAAAATCTGTATTAGTCAGATCCTTTGAACCTAGAAAAATAAGAAAAACCAAATAAAGCAATGTTTAAAGTTTCAACTAATATTAGAGATTAAATTCCTAGTTTAAAGTACTAAATAAATATTCACAATTATAAGGTGAAAAATTATGCAGACAACTGAATTCATCCACATATCCATAAAGTTTCCATTTTGGCTGTTACAGACCTCCTCTGTGCTTTGGTCAGACATTTCATATGCCAGGTGGCGCAGACACAGTGTGGCATTCCTGGTCACCCCACGTCCCATGTACGACATCGACATCCCTCCACGCCCTATGTGAAAGGCTGAGAGTACCTGCGGGGTAAATGTTACAGCATTAATAAATTGACAGTGATTTCTTGACAGTGAGCATCAAATCATCATCTTGAACATTAACAGTCGCTGTAACATTACATCTATTTTCACATTTCCTTTGGATTTCACAGGCTTACTGCCAACATGAAATGGTAAAACTAATGGGGAAATCTTTGTCATACATTCACAATTGTATCATTTCCCTAGTCTAAGTAAATCATCTTTATCTATCTAACAAATACTGTATTTCTTTTCATTTGGCTGGCTAATAGTAACAGTGATGTCATCATGATTACCTCCAGTAAACAGTTCAGTAGCTGCAGGCAGAGAGTGCTGCTATCTGTGTCTTTACATCCAGAACTCCAACCTGGTCTGTTTTATCAAAAGAAAATGTGAAAATTTACTAAAAACTTAATGAGATAAATTTCAATTTGAATGGCTGAAAAAGCATAATTTTTTTTTCTTGCAACTGGCAGAAATTACAAAACAATTAGGATCAATTTCTGAGGAAGTAAAAGAACTCAGTTCTACATCAGCAATTTAAGTCCACATTAAAAAAATGTATGATAACCCTTAATGTAAAGATATTTCGGAGTTGATGACAAAGTGCAATCATCAGTCCAGTTTACCTTGCTGTCACATTGGTCAAGCATGGCAGTGTGCTCTCTAGGGAAGGGAGATTGTAAAACTGTGGCGCATCTGCCAAGTTTAACCTCAGCAGAAGACTACGTACAATATCTCCTCTGAGCCAAGTTTTCAAGGATCTGAAAATGAAATCATTTTTCAAAACCCTTATTATGAAGGGTTTACTTCAAAATTTTATATAAATGGATAGCTAATTCTAATATGAAACAGAATTCTTCATGTATACTTCTATACAATTAAACAAAGTTCATATTATTGTTTTTTCTCCCTTCAAGAATTTTCTGTTGAACACTATCCCATCCATTACAAGGTAAGGTTACATTCTTATTCATTGCATATCAACCCAATATGACTTACGTCTTAGCTATCATCTGAGGCAGCCTATTAACAAATCTTCGTACAAAGCATAGCACTTCTTTCCTTAGCAACCTGACAATAATTGATAAATTCCTTCATAATTTGAAGTTACTGTAGTTTACATTTTACAGAATTATGCAAAATGTGCACTAGACTCAAAATATGTAAGACTGCAGTAAATCTCTCTTTTCTTCAAAAATTAAAAAAAATAAATAAATAGATAAAATTAAAATAAAAATAAAGACAAATAGGAATATTACAAAAAAAAAAAAATCAATTTATATTAATCTATCCTTTCACAGTCAACATACCTAGTAATATCATCCACATGGTCCCCCTCCCCGTCTTGTTGTCTGCCATCCTGTAAGCTTATCATGTTTGGCAGCGCCCCCTTCTTTTTAACCAAGAGATCTCCAAGCCACACTTGCTCAGCCTGAGGCACTGGGCCTGCTTCCAACATCAGATTTAAAAAAGAGAGAATTTCCATCAAGAGTGACTCATCCGAAGATGACGCTGGAATGACCTGAAGGAATCTGAAAATAAACAATAAAATCATGTTATTTAAACACCCTATCCAGCTCATCCCACCAATTGTAATCTTTCCTCAACATTCTTATGTCCAGAGTGGCACAATGATAAAAAAAAACTGTTTTTGTTGAAACCTTTTTCACCTTCCAAACAAAAAAATGACCAATTAATACACTTTCCAACCAGCTTGGAACAGCAACAGGTTAAATAAACATCACATTCAGATACAACACATTATTTCTACCTTCCAATGGCCTCTCTCCATTTTAACCTGTACAGTATCTCTGCACCCAGTCCATGCACCCTGCACACTGTCATGTAGGTCTTCAGTCTCCCCAGGGCCTGGCTGACTTCAGTGTGGGATGTGGCATTACACATGCTGTACAGGCACTGCTGGATGGCAGAGATCAGGTGGGTGGTCTCCAGTATGGCTCTGTCTGCTGGTGTTAAATGTAACTTGGCAGAAAACCTAGAATGATTTTTTTCACTCAATTAGCATTTCTTCATACCATCTAAAGCATTACACTTTAAAAATTGGTCACTGCTGAAGATGCTTTTCTCCAGAAAATTTGTTCACAAATGTTCTTACTCATTACAACTTGTGCTTCAAAAGTTGGTGTCCACTTACAGTCTAAGGCACTTTGTGAGTTTTTCCATTCTTCTGTTTCAATCTTCAAAACAATCGTCAAAATATCACCCCTCACTTACTCAGTCTCCTTTTCCTCTTCCTTTTTCTTCCTCAGATCTACCATCAAACTCTCCATATCTCCATGCCAGGCCACATTCCAGGCTATTTTTAACATCTCTGCAGGGGGTCCTGTTTGCAGGGGGTCTGTGCTGGAAACTAGGTCAATCCTGTGCTGGCTGATCACATGGTGGGTAATGGGTTTGAAGGGAATGTGGTACCTGTGAGCCATGAAGGCTGGGAGACTGAAACATTGAACTGACTTCTTGGGGGAAGAGTCCACTGCTACTGACCTAAATGAGAATTTAAAGAAAAATTTTCACAAAACAATCACTGGGGAATGTATGAATGATTAAATAAATTAGTAACTAATAAATTTTATAAAATGCAAATGAAGGCTTATTATGGGAGTTGCTTCCTATTCGTTGCAATCTTAAATTTATTACAAAACTTGCTTGAAAGCTGACAAGCAAATAACCCCTTATACGTAAACTGGGCATGACAAAGAGGTACAGAGGTGATATATTTTCCACAACCCACATGTTCAAAGTACAGTTTCAGAATGGGCACCAACTTCCTTCACCCATAAAGGTGTCATTGAAAGCAGTAATGATGGCAACTTACCAGACATCTATGCTGGCCACTTCATCAAATAACAACAACAGCAAGAGGTGTGAGGCATCATAATGTACTTGCTCATTCTTGTTGTGGAGGATAGATGCTAAAATACATGGCATTTCATGAGACCTTTAGGATATCCAGTAATTTAAAAAATAAAATACATGTCAATTTATTTGGTACAGTTAAAAACATAACAAAAGATAAAAAGTATTACAACAAATGTGTAACATGTCGATTTATTTGGTACAATTCAAAACACAGACAAAACATAACAAATGAGAAAAAAATACCACCATTTTACCTCTGACTATCATGTAATAGGTTTGTGATTCATGCGCCAACTGGTGACGGAGATGGTAGTCGGAATGGACCAGGTGACGTAGCAAGGTCACACAGGCTGGCAGAAAGATGGTCTCAGAAAACTGATAGTGAAAGAGAGAAAGACAAAAAAGAACACAAAGTTTAATAATAATCATGATAATTTTTTTTTAATTCAGTGTTAAATCAAGACCATCTGTGATTGTGAGAATGAAATCCAAGGTACTCCAGAATAATCATAAGCTGTAATGCACTTAAAAGAAAATAAAATTTAAGAGAATCAGGGTATCATCCTTCCCCCCTCCTCAAATTTTTCACAATAAAGACGCACCAACATTAACATACACCACAACTACCAATTTTTATTTCGCCTTCAATCTGAGCTCTGTCTGAAAACAAATTGCACATGACATACCTGAACTGTACTGTTTTCTTTGAGCACAGCCGTCTTCATACTGTCCAGCACCATCTCCAGCCCTCCCTCTTCCCTGAACACTTTGTGTAGACTGGTATCTGTAATGAGGAAGAAACAGGTACAAGACCTCCAGATAGAAAGTGATAGATACCACACACAGTTATTGGTGCCTCTTCACTAAATATATAAAAAAATATTAGATAAAAAAATAAATATATACTGATATTTACACAAACGATCATTTTTACAGGACCTTAAAACACCTCTCAAAACAATACGTATTAGTACTGCTACTATAAAGACTTGTCTTCAGTGAAAACAGGTCATGATATCAATTTCCAAATATAACTGTAATAATAATAAAATCAAAATACACCTCATGGGTATATTTACCTTGTAACATAATAGCTAGCTGGTCTAGTGCAGACTTTTTCACTCCAATATCCACTGATGGAGATCTGAGAATATTGACAACTTTCATCATACTGTCCACCTGTAATCACAAGAGATTTTTAAAGAGTTTTATCCCATCAATGTTTTCTAGTTTTGTTCTAACTCATGGTTTTAATTATAAAATTATTGTATTTATATCTTAAAGAAGCAATAAAAATGTGTCTATTTTAGAGTTTGTTACTGAAATAAATTCCTTGAGTATATTTTATATATAAAACTGTATCATGATAAATCATCATAATTATATCACATTCAATAAGAATGAGTCACAACAGTATGAGCAGTGCCCCATTTCTGTGAAAAAAGTATCACTACAGTGATATCACCCCGTTGGTCCATGAACTTGTAGAATCTCAAAATATTATCAATATCACAAACTTGTACTGTTAACTCAAAAAATACAGACCAGAGAGACTTAAACATATAATATTACTACTGTTAGTAACAGATATGGTCATTAAGTGTAAACAGCACAGCAATAAAATATCCCATTTACCTGGAAAACAGAGCGCCTAGCCTCATCAGAATCTTCTAGGTATCTAGGCTCCCTGATGACATACAGGTCTGACAGCCCAGCCACGTCTAGTTCTGTGAAGACTGGGAGCTTCTTCTCGCTGTCCTCCTCATCTGAGAGAAACCAGGCCAGCTTGGACAGCGCCTCTGCTCTGGTCCTGGAGAGCAAAGAGACAAAATGCCTCAAAAAGCTTGCACCATCCATAGCCATAAATGATTAAAAAAAATCATTCATATCACAGTAAAAACAAGCAGGAGTGCTACTTGTATTGACTCAATTTTTTTTCGTAGGGCCAGAAGAAATTGGGGACTGATACAATTATTAGACCTGGCACTTTGAATTTACAGTGCCTATGGCTCTGTTCTCACAACTTTTAGATCGATCTATCACCGCGGGGAGTCTCACTAGATTACTGTCAGATAATCCCCCTTAAGTGTCCGTCCCCGCCTACTACAAGCTTTAAGGGGTAATTAACTTTCGTGTCCGCCCGGCTGACAGCTATTTAGCGTGAACCCCCAGGGAGTTAGGTCGATCCAATGTAGGTCGATCTAATCTATGAGAATGGGGTGTATGACATCAAGAGGTCCTTAAGTCAAAATTATTTATTCCTTACAGCTGGTCCAAATGTCAGGCTGTTTAACAAAATACTTCAGTGCACCTGTAATTACTGTCACCAATACTCTGGGAAAAAACTGGGCTTTACACAATTGTATGGGAACAGTATCATAATAACATGACATTGTATTTGAGATGATGTTCCAATAACATGTCTAGAAATACATTTTTTTGCATCAGAGTTTCTGCTTACCTGACATCTTTGGAAAACATCATTCTGAGAACACCCCTGAACCTCTCTAGTTTGGGCAACGTTCCCTTCACTGGAGTCGGAGTGACCTCACACAGGCTACGAATACTGCTCCCTAGGGGGCTCTGCAAACCAGCATAACCCTGTGTGGAAACAGATAACTCATTTTTAAAATCCAAACCCAAATATCCAGTAGAATAAAGCATATTAACATTGAGGTGTTAGCTGTGGAACTGAAATAGCTATGGTACCCTTAGTATTGAAACTGAATTGTAACCCAATTGTAGGGAAGAGTTGTCTGGAGAAGATAGCAAGTGTATGACAACTGCTGAACTGACAAGGTTCAACTCAGTGTGTACAAGCTACACATGTTCATCTCAGGTTCACACTTGTCCTGTGATGTTTAAACTAAACTGATAGTTCAATTTGTGTTATTACCTGTAATATTGGCATTATAGCAGCCACAATCTGCATCAGTCTGCTCCATATATGATCAGGCATTAGCAGCTGACTCTGAAGGAGGTACAAGACTACCTGCTGTGCCACACCCAAGACCTGGAAATATGAACACTTGATATTGGCAGTTGAATCCCATAAATTAATCAAACAAATACAAGCAGTTATCAGCTAGGCACTTTCAACCTGGTGCTGATCTATTACATATATAATGCCAATAAATATTGCAACTTCTGAAGTTAATAGCAAGAGGAAAAACCCCTAAAGTGCAATGTATCTCAGTTGATGTTTAAACAGACTGTAGTCAATAAAAAATCAAATTATAGTTGTAAATATGATAAATAATTTAACAAAGTGTAGTTATGACTACTATAAATGCAAACTGCAGTTATAATCCTAATAATAACAAAATGTCAGCTAAATGTAAGATGGCCTCCTTATGTCCTGCCTTCAACAACCCACCCTTTCATTAGCATCATCCATCCCAAAGCAGCAGATTTCATACAGAACATGTCTGTCCAACAAGAACAGGATTTTCTGACAACTGGACGGCTTGCCGGGGCCATCAATATGAAGAGTATCCTAAAATATAAGTGTAAAATAAAGTCCATAGCATAAAATCAGCATAAATATAATCGCCAGAATATACCTAGGTGCACCAGCTCTATCACTCCTTTATCCTCACAAAAGTCAAAACAGCATATCATAGTGAGTACATTTTTTGCAGTCCCAAAATCAAATAAGGACGTAGGACTGACAATTGATTGACACTGCAGAGCAGGGTATAGTTTTGTTCTGTGCAGAAAAATAATACAGACAGATAAAGCTAGCACCAAATATTCTTCCTTTCTGTACCTTGACCAGTGCCAGACATACAGAGAATGCCCTCAGCTTCACCTCCACCAGAGAGTGGGCAAGGACTTCCAGGAGCACCTTCCTACTGTTGGTCATCACTATTGGACTGGCATTGACTGGACTGCAGCTGGAAAGAGGGCAGGTAAATGAAGTGTTAACTTAAATGAGTGTATCATATTTGGTGTGCTTACCAGTATGTTCAGACAAAGAGATTTAGTTACTAAGGCATGTCAAATGTAAATCCGTCTAGTTTATGATTTCTACGATGTTTGTGAGAGAGAGAGAGAGAAGGCACTTCTTTACCAACATAAGTCTATGATGGCAGTGTACTCTAACACATAGACACTACTACACACATACACAAGCACTGCACAAGTAACATGCAAGTAGTCCAGAGCTTAACAGTGTTCAGTTATAGTGACAGGGTAGACTGGGACATTACAACATGTACATGAAGACATGCCTATACACTCAGAATTAACTTACACATCAGAGCACAGTCTGACATACTCCTCTACCAGTGTTAGGTTACAGTGATATGGAAGACTGGGCAGGGAGTCCTCTGCAATCTGTATCAGCTCTGTGGCATCTTGATCACACTGAGGAAAAAATTATTAATTGGTTTAAAAATTTACTTGTCTGAGGTGATGCTTAGTATCATGTTCTTCTTGAATTTAAAATAATTCTTAATGAATTCAATGACCATATTTTTCATCAAATCAGGTATACATGACCAGTGGGATTTTTTTTTCCTTCTCAATACAGGGGCGGATTTAGGCTGTCTTCTGGGTCTTCCAGAAGACGGTCAGATTTTCAAGTTTACAATGAAAGGTATCTGATTTTTTCTGTCGGAAGACGGTCAAAGAATGAAGGATGGATCAACAAATATAATATGGAAGACTGTCAGAAAATATCTCTGAGTCCGCCCCTGCAATACATATGACAAGTCACAACCAATAATTTCATTTAGTATACATATTTTGTGAAAATCACAGATACCAGTTTTTGACTCACTAGTCCATTGTGAACCCAATATTTTAAAAGCAAGTTTGTAAAACAGTACTCAATATGACATTATTGCTATAATAAATTATTATTAACAACCATCTGTTTTGCGCAGTATTTTACCCTGTTCTGGCAGTTCAGTAAGAACTGGCAAGTCTTCTGCATGGACACCACTATGGTCTCAGCCTGCAGGAACCTCTGGTACCCCTCTCCATCCACAGCCTCCAGGTAAGGCAGGAAAGCAGGTCTGAGGGCAGGGAGACTCTGGGAAAGCGCCTCATCAAACACTATCCAGCTCACTGACTGACTCAGGTGCTCCGAGATCACAGACTGAGCCTTTAGTGGTATGGATGACAAGAAGGAAATATCATAGAGAATTTCAGGTATAAAAAGACTGATATCTGAAAATAATGACGTGGGGTCCATACCAGGGGGGCCTCTGCATCTATCTCAAAAATGTTATTATTGGCTCTCAAAAACGTCGGAATACCATCAAAAGACAGAAAAATCTCATTACTGGAAGTTGCACTTATCTTTATTGACAGTTACCAGATAAATAGGATCTTTTATTATCAATAATTTGTATTTGTGAGTGGTGTTGTGCTTACTTGTCACAGATTAATATAGATTATTTTTGCTTAAGACCACTGCTGCTGATTATGATTCTTACAAATCAAAACTTAACAAATGAACACAATTCTCACGACAATTCAAACACTCAGCAAAAATATTCTTAACTACCTGTTCAACTGGCACCAACAGCTTGAGGAACTTGTGCAGGAATACGCTGACCACCAGGAAACCAAGGCGGTGCTGCTCCTTGTCACCACTGGTGCCAGACTGGTGGTGATGGTAACTGGAGACTTCACCAAGGATTTGTAAAAATTCCTGTAACTTCTCAACCTGAAATAGACAAAGCACAAGATATTCTTAGAACTATATTGCTATATAATGCTATGCATTCTGAATAAATAAAATGACGCTTTTTATCAGATCGCATAAACTTTCTTAATCTGCCGAAAAGAACATTGAAATTATTAATCCTGCTTTTCAAACCATTCTAAAGATGACACCATATATCTGGTACTCTTTTTCGAACCAAGTTCATCAAAAATGCATAAAAGCAACTACAGAACATAAACATTTATCACTAAAACGTCTTTCCTTAAAACCAGCCTTTTTCAAATATCTAGTATGCTCTATACACCAACAGATATACTTCCAGATGTGATAAATGAAATAAAGGTGTAGACTTTCCTGCATAATAACAAGTCTTTATTTATCAAACTCACCATATCTCTAGCTGTTATACTGCCATCTGTCCACACCTGACCTGTGAGACTTAGCCCCAGTACATCCAAACTCTCGTCCATCAAGAGAGCTACATCCACCAGGGTGTCCTTGCGGTCAGTTCGCAGCAAGGGGGCAGCCCTGGTCAGTGTCCGGAGACAGCACTGTGGAAGGGTCAGTTGAGAGAACTGCAGGGCGTCCATCTCGTCAACGTCTGTGTCTTCCTGCTGGTGATTACCCATGTCCTGGTCCTCCTGAGGGGACACTGGTCTGAAATGAGGACAGAAATGAAACAAAATGAAGGATAATTTGTACTGACCAGATGGCCTTCTGATTAGAGTGTTTGTCTCCAGAGCAAGAGGCACGAGTTTGACCAATCCTTTATAAACAGTATCTGCCGACTCCCTGCTTGGCACTCAGTACTTAAGGGTTGAAGCAGGGTTCAGGCAGAGAACAATATTATAAGCATGCTATTTTTCAGCACCTCATACAACAGCAGGGCTTATAAAAATGATGATAATCCTCCCCAGGGAGGCGAAATCATCAACACAGATCGTAATGGCCAGGAGTCAACTGAAATATGTACCACACAAAATTGTAACTTATTGTAAAGTCTAAAGAACATATTTGGAATTTAGACTTAAAATCAATATGTTTATTTAGTTATAATAAGTAGATGACAATGCAGGGAAGCAAGAGAGCAAAAACCACTTTAAAATATATATTTACAGAAGGAAAATTGGTCAAAATTGCCTAATTTGATATTGCCACCACCACTAATGCACTCAAGACAAAAATGACACTAAGTTTCTAAATGGTTTACTGTTAAATAACCTTGAACTATCTGATGGCGAAGTATCTCTATCTTGACCATCACCCTGGTTACGGGTATCACTTCGACCAATCACAGATGGTCTTGTATCAGAAGAATTAAGAGTCTGATTGCTAGGAGATGCAACACTTGATGGAGGAGATGCCCCAAAGTCTGAAACAATATTACAAAGAGCATGAAATAAGAAGAATAAGAAAAAAAAAACAATAAAGCATCTAAATATAAATAAGATTCTTCTTTGACAAATGCTGTTTACATTTTAAATTGAGCATCTAAGTTAATTCCACTTTTTTTCAAGGAAAAAAGAGAGGGAAAGCACTAGTAAGGTGTTAATTAAGGCTATCTTCAAGGCTTTCCCCAGGACTCCCTGTAAATCAATGACCAAATTACAGATTCACCTTTTGTGATTCCCTGTACCCTAAATCCTTGAAAACCCTTGGTTATCTTCCAAATTCAAGACAATGCACTATTTAAATACATGTATTATTATATGATACATCACCTATTTTTGGTGTATACAGAGTTGGATCCTGATAAAAGTGGATCCTGTGCTGCAGATGGACACAAAGGTCTCGTAGTGTTTTCACTGCAGCTGTCACAACACCTGATGTCCCACCCTCACTGGGCACTTGAAGCAGTTGTAACAAAATCTGAAACGCAGTAATTGAAGTCAGCCTGGTGGACAGAGTTTGTGAGATAGTGACTACTATAATCAACCGAAGTGTGCATTTTTGACTTACGCCAATGCAGAAAAGTAAATTTCAATCACTATTTAATCCAACATACCTTGTTTTTAAGATTTATCATTTGTATTTGCTCACAAAACCCTGCCAAATGGCATGAGTCCCTTTTACTGTTTGGAAATCTGACATAATTGTATTTAAGTGCCACTATCAAACACTGCTTAGGGAAATCATATTAATCAATTTATTTGATCTAGGTAATCACCACAGTTATACTTTACCTTGACAATGCTAGGTCGTTGCAGAAAGACCTCAGCAGGAAAATCCAAGAAGACAACATCACTAAGAAACTCACATGCACTTATCACCATGGTCTGGTCTCCACTGTGTAGTGAGCTGAAAGGTGAAAATGAATAGGTTAAATCTTGTTTGTATAAAGACCCATGCTGTTTCAAACCAGCTATGCATCTTCCTATCAAGCAGGGCTTAAAACATATTATGAAGCACTCTTCTCTTTTATCAGCCATACACCTGTTCTTTACTGTGCTCAAAATAATGTTATTATATCATTTTAAACCTCATAACAATGGAAAAATATTCACAGGAACAAAAACTAATTCATCTTACTTTTCAGTTGATGACATAACATGTCTGTCTGTTGGAGTCAAAGGCAGCCATGGGAAAGTGGAAAATTTAATGCAGCCAGAAATATCTGGAAGGCCAGAAGACAAAACCTGAATCCTATATACGTCATTTAGTACTGAGAGTTAGAGTCTAGACTAATCTATAATGCTTCAGAGAGTGGTATAGATGTGTCTCTACAATGTCAGTGGGTTTCAAATGCTTCCTGTCATATCTGTCATAGCTCAAATTGAAATTACCCTACCAAAATTACATAACTGTTTCTTCCCATTTTAAATCTATAAAATAGTTAACTGTTTTACCAAACAATCAATCAAGCTGTAACTGACAAGTAGCTATTTTTAGTAGTGTCTTGACCTTAATTGTAGTATCGGTGTTGATAGTATTTAGTTTTTGCCGCCACGTGTTTGTTAGACAAGTCAGATTCTCGCAACGAGTTTCACGTTGATTCAGATGAAAGTTGTTACCAGTTGTTTCCAGTTGAAAGTTGATGAAAGTTGATGTAAGTTGACATAAGTTGATGTTAGACAATAAACAGTACCATTTGTTACCAGTTGATGTTATATATCGTTGACAATTGAATAAAATTGGACTGACACCCGCAACACAAGTAATCAATCAACCAGTCATTATTCATCAATCAGTAAAGCTAATACTTAATCAGGTTCAACTGACTTACAAATAAGGGAATGAATATATTTAATATTTTAAGTTTTTATATTAATTTTATTTATTAATTTACTTATTAATTCATTTAAAATTGAATTTCAATTTTATCAATTAATAAAACTTCAATCTCCTACCTCTGTCCAGCTGTTCCCTGGTCACTCCAGCCACTTGACCAGCAAACTGACCATCCTGGTCTGGGGTGAAGTAGCCCATGACTGTGTCCTCTGAGGTCTCAGATGTTTGGTACCTGGCACTGTCATAGTCCTGTCTGTAGCTTGCCCTGTGGGTGTGGGTGTGGGTGGGAGGCTGGGACAGGACTGGGCTAGGGTGACCTAATTAATAATTTCTTTTATATATTGTCATGTTTGTACAGTGAAAGTGTAAAATGAGAATTAATATGATCTGTCAATAAAATGAAATGAAATAAAATCAATTGTGCTCATTGAAAAATAAGTTACCACACTATCTAGAAAATAAAAGTTTGAATATGTTTAAACCTTTAAAGAAATGTACTATCTTTATTTGTTCTGTGTTGCCTATGCTTAGGACAGCAAATAAAATGGCTGAAATTGTGACATTTTGAGTTTGACATTTTATGAAATCTCCTTATTTAGAATATCGATACAAAATCCAGCCTTTTGCTGAATTTCTTATCCATAAAAATCTAGTGATGACTTTTATTATATTTATATAACTTGCCTTTAAACTCTAAAATGAAAATCACCACAACGAAACAAATCAATTAACAAATAATACAACTACTAAAATTATGATAACAGAATATTCAATTATAATATCTGTGCAATCTTAGGTTTTTGAAGAAAAAAAAACATACTTCTTGTGATAGAATTTTGCTGATATATACACTGGCTGGTATGAGTCTGTTCAGCAGAGTCTGGTAGCCTCATCATGTACTCCAACACTTGGTCTATCAATGGGTGCAGTACCTTGTCACAGTTCACTCTGAGCTGGGTGAGGAACTCCACTCCACCAATGTCCTGCAGGAGCTGGGCCGCAGAGGAGTGCTGAAAGTAATGGTATTAGATGATGATATTATATATCCAGGCCATGGCCAACTTGCTGTATGTGACTGTCATGTTATAAGTAAATATAAGTCTGGTTAGATGATTAAAACTTGAAGCAAATAAGAAGCAAGATCTGCTCTACTTGTCTTTACTACATGAAATTTGGGGACACCTTGTTAAAAATAGTGATCTTTGTCACCTTGAAGAATGATGGTGATGATTAAGATCACAAAAAAATCCTGCATTTCTGATGTAAAAGCTCAGTGGTAGTTTATATCTACCTCTTCCTTCTCTTTTCCTTACCTTGGCCAGTCTTGCCAGAAGTGTCATCACCTCATCTTGATGTGGGCAAGTAGGGAAGTTGAACCACTCCAACAGCCTTATCAACAAGTGTTTCTCCTGAACTAGGTCTGCATCACATATGATATGGTGGTCAAGCTTAGACTGGACATTGCGCAGAGCTCTGACTCTGATCTCCTCCAGTTGATGACCTGAGATTGATGAAGAGACCGTACAGTCTTATTTCTGTTTTTATCAATCATGCAAAATAATAATATTGTATCAAATCCGCCACGAGCACATTGCGTAAACAGAGACACAGTCACACTAATCAATTTAGTATTCAAATTGAATTCCTGATATCAATTTACAGTGTTAAAAACAAGGCATACAATGTACGCATGAGTGGAGAGACTAACTAGTGCGGGTTCAGTCTGTTGATAAAATAGTTGAACCAAAAATAACAAAATAACAAGGAAAAATGACAAAATGTAAGCAACTTACCAAGTTTTCTAAACAAGGGCTGCAGATCTATGTCAGTTTTAAGCGGATCATTCATTTTCAATGAATATCTGACATGAGATGAATTCAATTTTTAAGACAAGTTTAAGACAAATGCGTGACTCGAGGGGTACACATCGTCGTGGATGAAAATTGGAGTTTCGAAGTGTCCGCCATTTTCAATCGTGCACAAAAAATAATGAAGAAGTGGCGGAATATTTACTGCATTGCCATCTTTGTTTTTGAAAAAAAAATATGTTTCTTTACAAACAATCTGGTGTGAAGATAGTTTTTATTCTCACTTATCAATGGTGTGTAAATGTTTTATGTTATGGTGATTTTTAAGTCGGTAATTTGTTCCATACCCTGCCTAATTTTAGGAATACCTAATTATATCCCGTCATCCTCCAGTAAAGATGTCGCTGTCGTGAAGGTACACAAATTAAGTTTTCTGCAATCGATCCCTAAATATCTCGTTATTTCCACGTTATCTTTAGTTTTCTAACAGGCATTACGTTGCAGTTTATGTGAGGATTGACATATTTTGTTTTTGACGAGCTGTCACAAGTTGGAATGGTTGCTTTCTCAAGTAACAGGCATGACCATACTGGTACCGTGGACAGTCCATTCATAAATATAGAAATTTGTTTTTATGGTCCATTGAGTGATAAGCTCACTTTTTCCCCAATGATTCCCCAAGACCACGGGAGGGGACGTTAGAACATACACAGGTCACGGTAGGACGACAGGGGTATTTTGTAAAGATCCAAAAAATATTTTTTATCTAAAATCCTGACAGCTAAAAAAAAAAAAAATAGTGACCAAGGCCTAAATCTCACCATCACCCTCCAAGTTGGTCAATATTGCATTATTTACACTGATTGTACACGGTATGTGTACTCTTTTTATTTACTTGTTTATACATTTATTTATTTACTTTTGTAGTGTGAAGTTTCAAACAGAATACCCACCGCAATTACCAGTATTATGGAACATGCCCACTCAAACTGGAAAGACGGCTACTGCAGTAAGACCCAAGACAGCCACACAAAGAGAAAAAAGTGTAAAAACCACAACATCCACGGCAAAGACATCGAAAGTCACAGATAAAACATCAGTTTCTGCTAAGAAATTAGAACCTAATGGGGAAGTTGTAAAAGGCACAGAAGGGATAAATCCCAGCAAAACCCAGCATGTAAGAGATGACAGCACACAGGTTACAGGGGACATTAATAAGGAAGATGCTACCCAGGTGCAAGAAGGGGGCATTGCAAGAAAGAAGCCCCCTGTTCAACCCCCTAAAGCCACAGAATTCTTCAAGCTAATTCATGAAGGGAACCACAGGAAACTTAAGATATTATTGAGGAAAAGAGATGTTGATGTCAACTGGGTGGATAAAAATGATCCCCTGCAACCACCAGGGATTCTACTTGCTTGTGAAAAAAACAACCTTGAGGTAGCTAAAGTACTTTTACAGCCAGGAAATAAAATGATACCTGATGTCAATCTGGAAGATAAGAAAGGCAAAAGGGCTGTTTGGTGAGTAGAAATACACAGATTGCCCTTAACTATCAGGCATGTCCTTTAGATGTACGGTAAATAACTTAAATGATGGTTTAAGTAGTAACAGACTCAGACTGACAGTTTGTTCAAAAACTTTTAGATGTAGGTTTTGATTCAGTGTTTTCTGTTTGCAGAAGTAAATGCAAAAAAGAAATTTTCACAGTAGCCTATATTTGTTACTTTTTACACTGACTAACTTATTTACTCTAAATTCTGCAGCAAAACCAGTTCCTTGTTATATTGACTATTGACTTAAGTATATTGCAATACATTTCAATCATTTAAAAAGGTGGGCTGCAATGCATGGTAATGCAGAGCTTGTTGACCAGCTGCTGATTCATGACTGTGATGTTGATATTCTGGATAAAGAGTCAGGTAGGAGTTTCTAAAAAATATACTTTTGTTTATTTATTTATTTATCCTATTTTACATTATACTCACTGTTTCACTCACTGTTTCACTTGCATTCAATTTATCTTTTCAACAATTTACCAAGCATATCCTTTTTAATAAGTATTGTTTTTCTACCCCTTTGGCAGGTTTAATAAAAATATTTCCTATTTTTAAACTTATGCCTGTAATAAATTAGTGGTAGTCCAGATTCTGTGATTGCTGATCTGGAAGGGACCTCTGAAACATCAGCATTAAATAGATATTAAAGTTGTTATACATAATCAAATTCTTCTTTATCCATCTTGAGTTAAGAAATTACTGGGAATCTCCCTGTAAGCATACTCACAATAGAAATGAACTTCAAGTGACCTCTGAAATTCAGAGTTTATTCATCCAAGCAGACAAAACAGCCAGATAGAGAGCAGCAAATATGGATGCTTGACTTAGGAGTTACTCTCTGACCACAGAGTCTGCTATTACGTAGTCTGTTACAAAATTATTGTATCAGACCCTGTGGGAACTGAGATGATGAACAGGAATGTGATCCTCACCTGACATACCCCCTACCGTGTATATGTATCAGTGGAGGTGATTTCACACCTAGGTGTTGAGCTGCACACATCCCTGTCTATTACGCATAGCTTCATGCTGACTTGCTCCGAGCTGAGGAGCACACTTGTACTGGTAGAACATATCTTTACTACTTAAATTAAATCTATTCCAGGCACCACACCCCTTTACAGGGCCATCCTGAGTAATTCTGCCAAGGTCTGTCAGCTGCTGATCCATGCTGGGGCCAATGTGAACTTGAGGATACTGGGGTTTAATGTGGGTGGGGAATCACCACTCATGAAGTGAGTCATTTCTATTTCATTAGACAGACCATGTTATTAGCCTACTCATTTGATCTTGACATATTGTACCTTTTTGGATAATTTATTGTTTTTACGGAGGAGATACCATTGTCATAGAAATATGTTTATTTAAAATTTAGTTATTTGAATATTTTATTTTACATGCTGGTTATATACTGGTTATATTTAAAAATGTCTTCTTAATGTTTATATTGAAATTTGAAGATGTTTCTGTTGTAACTCCTTGACTTCAGCGACAAGTGAATGCATACATTGGGTGATTTTTTATTGAATATTTTTTTTAATTTTGGCATATAGGTTTCTCATTTTGGAAAATTATTTATTTAAAATACCTTTCATCTGTTGTTTAATTGTCTTCATTATCTTATTTGATTTTTTCTCTGCTATTTCAGATGTGTTCAGTTAGACAACAAGGAAATCTGTGAAGTCTTAATCAATTCCCTGTGTAATCTTAATGCCAAGACAGACACCAGGTACAACGCTCTTCATTACGCAGTGGCCTACAGAAGGTACGACATTGCCGAACTTCTTCTGACCAACCGTATACATATGCATACAGCATCAGTGGAAGGTGTAACGCCAATGACTATAGCAGTAGATCAACACAATGCAGCAATGTGCCGCATACTTGTTGAATTTGGCTATAATATGCAGAAGAAGTACAAATGGGGTGAGACACCCCTGCAGCATGCTATCAAAATCCACAGCGAGAACTGTGCAATAACTCTAGTCCACATGGGTTGCAAACTGAAACGTCCTAAGGAAGAGAACTCCTATTTCTACTTGGCTGCCTCTGAGGGACTTTTCCAGCTGATGAAGTTGTTGCTAGAAATCAATCCATACTATATATACGAAAAGTGGATCTTGGAGCGCAACCTACCCCTTTCTCTGTACCAGAAGCCAGAACTGTTTGAATGGTTATTTGCCAAATCTAGTCAGCCTGCGTCCCTCTCTGCCCTGTGTCGTTCTGTTATACGAGTAGCCATTGGGCCATATCCCTCCACTCAGGTCCTAGACCTCCCACTGCCAAAGAAGCTGCAAGAATACCTGGCCCTCAATGAGTATGTCAATGAGGAGATGTATAAGAAAATTCCTTTAACAAAGAAGGAATGCCCATTTGATTGTCCTAGCTATTGTCCAGTTACTGCCCGGAAGTGTCCGTTTTTGGATATTGAGGGTATAGATTATGTGGACTCAGATGAGGAGGAGGAGGAAGAAAGCTGTGCAGGGCATGGGACAAAAGATGGGCACCTGGAGTCACCCAAAGTGAAATCAATTATTAATAGTAAAGAGAAGGATGCTTTGAAAAGGGGAGGGACTCCTCGTAGGGTGTCTTTTAAAACTTGAACATGGGAGTGAGAAAAAAATGAAGTAAGAGCACTATAAAAATAATACTTCGAATTTATTTTAAGGTATTTCATCAGTACCATTTAAGTTATAACAGTGGCAAAGGGAAATAGCAAATTGTGCAATTTTTGTAATATCTTTTAATATTTGGCCAAAAACACTTATTCCTTGATAATATAGGGTTCACAAACATGTACCATTTCTTCTTTTCTTTGCATTTTTGAAGTCATTCATATTTGATAAAATGTTACCACCTAAGTATGGATGGCCGACTGACTCTAAGGACATATTTTTAATGGTCACACTATTTGACAATAAATGTCCCTCTGAAGTGAGTGAAGAATGACAATATAGGGGCAATTTATACCACTTTCAGAAAACTGATGTTTTTGATAAGAAAATCCAGGGAGGTTTAAAGGATTTTTAAATTAGCTTTAATTTTTACTTATAGTTTTTTTAATTCTACACATACCAGTTCAAATGTGTTCATATTTTAAGTTGAAAGGAAAATTATTTTCCTCCATGTACCCACCGGAATGTATTTGTGCTGTTTAACATTATCAAGAATTGAAAAAGCGTAAGACCTACAAGGTTTTTTTCTTATAGAATATTTTATGCCATTGTTATACAAACATACTTTTAGTTTTTTAATTCTACGCATACCAGTTCAAATGTGTTCATATTTTAAGTTGAATGGATCAGTGTAAAGGAAAATTATCTTTTTCCATGTACCCACCGAAATGTTTTTGTACTGTTCAACATTCTTGAAAATTGAAAAAGTGTAAGACCTACGAGATGTTTTCTTATAGAATATTTTATTTCGTTATACACTCATCCTTTTTTACAAATAACAAATTTAGCAAGATTTTACATTTTCTTCTATTTTCACATTTTATTTCGAAAAAGAATTTAACAGATATACCCACCGATATGCAATTAATTTTTTTAATGAAAACAAACCTTTATTTTCATTACTATAAAAATTGAGTTAATATAACTTTAACTTTGATAACACCTCGTTGTAACCTTGTTTTTGATGATCACATGTAAACTTAAGTGATTTCATTCATATTATTACTGTTAAAATGCAGGGTACAATTTTTATTACAAGCTGAGCTATATTCATTTCAATGTACAATGAGTATCTGTATATTGAACTCCCACCAGACACGTATGCTTTCAACATAATTCATATTGAGGTATTTATATTATTTAAGAATAAATTAATTGAAGACAAATGTTCCACAGTTTGAGTTTTTTCTAATCATATCCACACTACCTGTGAAATATATATTCTGTGTGAGAGTACATAACACTAATTGACATAGTGTTAGTGAAAAGCATATAAAAGTATCAGGCCAATAATTAAGATTTCTAACGTGTAACTACCACTTTCGAGTCCTCCACCTAAAAGCACCAGCAGTGCTTGCAACACACTAAGAATGCAACTCGGATGAAAACTTGCGCCTGAAGGACTAGCTGTTACAGATTGATTTTCATGTTTCATGTTCCTAAAGATGCCACACTATCAAGTACTTCACCTTCATCTTTTTTCATGAAAAATAAATTTTGGCTCATTATAAATTATTAGTCCTTTTCCTTCTTAGTTCTAGCTTCCACTTCATCACTTACGTTTCCTTCAATCAGTGTTTAAAGGAGCATCACAGGTTACAGCCCTATTGTAGGCCTTATAAACTGCTTCAACTCACCCACCAACCAACCCAAGCATTTTTCTCAAAAATCTTAGATAAAAAAAGTGAGAACAAGTATTCAATGATTAAAAAGCTCTTCCAGGCTTCTGAGACGTCTGCATGTAGCCTCAGCAACTTTTGTTATTCATTTATTGCATTAATGGAGACCGTGCACAATACACTATTTATGCAAATAAATTAAAATAAAAAATGAACCCGTTCAGTAAATAACTTTATTTCATTTAGTACCATTAACCATTGATCCATCTCTTTTTTTACCTATTCAAAGGCACACCACTTACATTAACCAGCTTTAGGATGCTTTATGGACATGAGTGACAGCATTTATTTATCAAACATCCCAAAAGTGAAGTCTACTATATCAAGTCAATATCACTGTCATCATCATCATCATCAATCACAAGACTAGAAAATTTATTCTCTACATCAGCATATTTCACCCTCTTCTTTTCAACATCAGGAGTTTTTGACCTTTCCTCCGAGTCGCTGTCCTGGTTCATTAACATTTTCTCTTCTCCAGCTTTTTTCTTAGGTGCTTTCTTTTTACTTTTCTTGGCACTCATCTGTGACACGTGCTGAAAATAACCAACAATGGGCAAAGAAGATAGGACTTTTTCAGAAAGTTCAAAATAAAACTCCGATATGGGACCAGCCCTTCCTAAAGTCTCACTAATAAACAAATCTGGATTGGGTCTGACTTTGAGTTCTTGATAGAAATTGTATGCAAATGTCCCATTGAAAATCAATGCAGGGTGGATCTTGTGAAAAGGCTCTACCAGTAATTGGTTCAAGTATGTCACAGCTTGGAGACAGGTTTGATACTGAGCAAAACCATGAATAACTGTTGAACTAAAGGGGTGAGCCGTACTGTGCTGAGGGGCTGCCATGAACTTATGTAATCTTTCTTGGGCAGTTCTTAGAGTGGTCAGTTTGATGTCCATCTCCAGGCTGTCAACATACACACAGGCATCAGTGGACAGTGGGGGACTGGTCCTACTCTTCTGGACCTTTGACTGGGCAACTCTCTTTCCCTTGCCTTTCGGTTGTTTGATTTGTGGAAGTTCTTTGAGACCTGCTCTGATGCAGGTTAGATCTATTACAGCTGAAAAGATAAGCAAACAATAATTAACATATCTAGAATTAATTTGACACTAGTTGGAAGATACTTGATAGAAACAATCAAAGGCAGATCTCTTTAAGTCAATCAGTTAAATAATATTTGTCAACTATCTTTTTATAATTAAAAAATAAGCAGAGGAATGTTGCAAAACAGAGGAAAATAAAAGAAATGTTACCATACTTCAACAGACTTTATAAACTGCAAATGTCTTACATCTTTAATGGATGAATAAAATAATGTATAAAAAAAAAATCTACCTAGTTTAATAAGAGTCACAAGCAGCACACTGACATGGAGCTGGGTCACTCTGGGGTGTGCATTCATAATCCAGAAAACCATGGCCCTTAGGACCAGCTGAAACATTTCTGCCACCTCGTCCAACCTCTCTATTCCAGTCTGCTGTAAGGAGCTGACTAGTAGGTCCCTTCTTTCCTGACAGCTCAGTGCTGGAATGGAACTCAGTGATGGGAGAGGTCCATATTGTGGTATTTCAAACATTGGCTCAACTAGAATCTTTCTCTGTGACTTGTTTTCTCTGTCATACTCAACGATATATGCAACACTTGATACATCTTTGTCATTGTCTGATGAATCCTTTACTAACTTCTCATTGGTCATTACATCCTCTGTTGATTTTGTAATACTAATTTCTTTATTTGCCCCTTTATTGATATCATTTGTCTGGGTGCTTTCAGTTATTTCTTTGTTGCAGTTCTTATCATGAGTTAGTAATAAACCATATATAATTTGCCTGAGTTTTCTAGAACATGTATAAGAGCTTGATTGTTTCATGTCCTCAACCTGAGCCAATAAAAAAATTCGATGAAGAGAAACAGCATTCAGCATTAACTTGGGAACCCTGCTGAATCTAAACTGTTCAGCAAACCAAGCTGGCAAAATACACTGATCATAAGTCAGTAGATGTCCCAACTCTTTTTCAACAGGACTGCTGAAAAAATCTGCCAGTTTTGTTGTGGGATTAGTGTAATTTTCCACAGATTTTTTTATAATCTCAGTAACTTTGTCTCTTTTATCCTTCTGAATATGAGGGAGCAGTTGGTTTGTAATGCGTTCCACAGTACTGAAGTTCTTCATCCACAACATAAGTCCAATAATTTTGCTATGCCTCTTATTGGTAAAAAAGTCATGCTTGGACCCTTTTGGAAGAGGCACCTGTGCAAAGAATGTTTCAAACACCCTGCTGTCAACAAAGTCATTCCCTAACAAAGCTGCCAATACTGGCAATGCTACTGTATGTGTACAACTAAAATGTTGCAAGAAGTTGTGAACCCTGTAAATACGGGCTCGAAGATATTTGCATTCTTTTTCTTCTCTGCTAGCATCCACACAGCCTCCCAGCATCCCATGCCCTCCATCAGAATCAACATCAGGTTCATTATACACTTGTACATTGAGATCTATATGGTCAAATGGTATGTAGCCACAGTGAACATCAAATACATAAAAGTCACTGTCATTGCTGACCACTGGGCAGTTCCACTCATTGGCTAAAGCAGCTATCTGGTCATCAGCCTCGAAGTCACATGTCAGGTGGGAAATGTCCAGCTCAACAAGGACATCACGGAACACTTCATAGGCCAGAATAGGAAGTATTTTCCCTCGCATGCCTTGGGAGATGAAGCCTGTTAATATGATAAAATGTAATATGCATAAAAAATATGATTTATACTATCATTTAAAACATTTAAATAAAAAGTTTTAAAAATGTATAATAAAAAAAGATTATTTTTGGATCACATGAATTTGACTTCAAAAACTGAATAAAATATAAATTTATTTTTTAACATATTACTCTTCCAGCACATAAAAAGTTTCTCTAAATTTCACAAAATTTCATTCTACAGGATTAAGAGATTAACATAAAATGACAGGTACATTTAGAAAAAGTCCTTCATTTACCTGCAAGATGAATTCGCTCCTGGGATCTCCTCAGGGTGGTACGTAGTTTTCTATCATCACTCTCATACCCTCCATCGAACACAACAACAGGAGAAATATTACAGGTCCGCAAAGTGTTAAAGAAGTCCCGTATATTCTTTGCAAAAGTATCATAATCTCCACCACAGTGATAAGGAATTCGATAATTGTAGTGAAGGAAATGATACAAGTTGTTTCCATCTATGATAATCTTTGTGTCATGGAGTTTGTGTTCCTGGAGAAGATGGGGGTTATCTTGAATGAAGGAGGAGAGGCCATGTATCCCCATCCTTGCTGGATATGAGGGTTGATCATCTGGCTGAGCACATCACTGGCTGTATTCAGGCATTTCAAAATGTGAACTGAAATAATAATTAGCCTTTTTTAAATCATGGAGAAAATAATTAAGTACTGATAGTAAACAAATAAATATACAAAGACTTATAAATGCAAAAACAAATATGTACCACTGGGCAAGCATGAAACGATTTGTCTTAAAATTATGTTAAGATATGAGTCTTTTTAAATTTGTCTCCGATTTATAAATAAACTGTAGGTGTAAGTCAATTTCTAATAATATTATAATATTATAGTTATTACAACTTTTACTCCAGACAGAGAAATGTGTCGTGGGGGCTAGAATATACAGCAAGCCTCACTAATGACTAGTAAACAATACATTTATACATCTATACATATGTGGGTGCTACTCGTAAAGTAGACAAAACTTATCAATTGTTAGTTGAGGGAAGCTACAAGCAGGGGTAATCCTGCTACATTGTAGGCTACAATTAAATTAGTCAAAGCGACCATCTGTTAAGGTATGGAAATTATCTTTCTAAGAAACGACTGTCATTGCAAAATGATACCTGAAATAAAATCAGTAAATCCTACTTTGAAAAGTATATCAAATTTAACTTACTTTTCTTGTTGTTATTGGAATAATCAGTCTTTAACCTACAGAAAAAAACAAAATCGTGGAAAACGTGGGCGCAGCCATTTTGTGCGTGAATTTTTGCAAAGCGCACTTCGATTGGTTTATGCTCCTCATGTGACCACTTCAACAAATCAAAACGAATGTTGCAAAACTTTCATAATTCAGATTTAGAAGTTACGTCCAGCTGACAGATCTCCAAACGAAGATAGTAAGCCCGCCCCATTTTGGAGAAATGTAAGTCTGTTGAGAAATGAATGGATGTCATAGTAAGGTAGAGAGGTATTTTCTCCGCGTGTAGCCAGTCGATCTTTTCTTTGTTGGCTGGAGTCAATGCATTCCTTCCATGTGGTCAACAAAGACTGGTTTACTTAAAACTCCACTGGAACTGATCACCAAAAATTACAATCGAAAAAAAAACAAGAAAAAGAGCAAATTTTATTCCACGTGCAATTCTAAGCAATCGAACAATTCTCTGCTAAAACTGAAGGGAAGTTTTCAATTACCTGTTACTGTGTAAACAACTCACAAGTCACGTCTACACTTTACTACACTACAACGAATACACTATGCATTAATTTACTCTTTCATAATGTTCAACAACCCATTCACAGCTGTAAGCACTGCATTTTCTCTTAACAGACTTTGCAGTGTGCTGCACTGAAGATTGAGCGCCATGAGCCTGCAGCAGCATTTAAACACTGCTGTAAAAACTGGCAGTGTGGCTATGGTGGAGAGACTGATAGTCAAAGGAGCAGATATTGACCACGGGTTTGGGATGCAAGGACCGCCTCTGTGTGCCGCCATCAATGCCAACCAGTCCCAGGTTGTGCAGGTCCTCATCCAAGCCAAATGCAACTTGAATGTCCAGGATTATGATGGGGAGAGCCCTCTGTGTTTAGCCTTGAGAAAAGGCTTTGTTGACATTGCAAAAATGTTAATTCAAGGAGGATGTCGAGTGAACAGGGAGGACCCAATCTCCTTAAAACCACCCATTATTATTGCCACAGAGAAAGAACTTATCGATATAGTACAGCTGTTGGTCACCACACCAGACTGTGATGTCAATAAGAAGGACAAGACAGGCAGCATGGCCCTCCATTATTCTGTGACTCAAAATAGCACAGAAATCTCCAAACTGCTCATCTCCTCAGGGAGATGCCGCGTGAATATATGTAACCAGACTGAGGGGGAGAACCCACTGCATATTGCCTGTAGGCTGGGACATAAAGAGGCTGTAGAACTGCTGTTGAGTACAGCAAATGAGGGTCATAAAAAGGAACTTCTTGAACATCAGCAACAGCAGTTGCTTCATTGTCAGGAAGAACCTGTACAATCACAGCAATCACAAAGGGAAGTACCAAAACACTCACAACAACAAAAACAGTTGCAGTTCGTAGAGACAGAAATTGGTTCTAGTGGTTCTGGAGATGAGACCCATCAAATTCTTGATGATCGCCTCGCTAAGTTACAGCTCAGTGATCCCTATACGGTATGTGACGTGAACAGGGGAACACACTTTGGAGTTGGTCCACTGCATTTTGCCTGCATTCACAATCACACTGACATTGCAAAACTGCTGATAGGTGCAGGATCTGATGTCAATGCAAAGACCACATCCAACAAATGTCCTCTCCATCACGCTGTGCAAAACGAGAACTTGGACATTGTAGACATGCTTCTGGAAGCTGGAGCGAATATCAATGATGTGGCATGGTATGGGCAAGGGCCACAGTTTAGGTTCTGGAAAACCAGCTCCATAGAAGAGAAGGGGACTCCACTGCATCTAGCTGTTGCCACTGAGAACCTCACCCTGGTGAGAAGACTGCTGGAGAAGGGAGCCGACTTGTCCGTGGGTAATCAGGATGGCCAGAGTCCAATCATGCTTTCTATGACCAAATGTAGTGGGAAGGTAGAAATTGCAGTATGTTTGCTTAGTGAGGCCATCTCTCAAGGACTGAATGTCTCTGATATGAAAGACCTGCAAGGAAACACCCTAGTTCATGCTGTATCGCATGTTAAAAACAACCCAGGGAAACTCTTGCAAATACTGGTAGAGAGTGGCTGTGACCTAGACAAACCAAATAATGAAGGCATGCGTCCTATACACTCTGCCATATACCAAAGTAATTATAATGCTGTTAAGGCACTGCTAGACTGTGGTTGCTCTGTCAATGCCACCATCTGCGAGTCTTCCTTTGAGCTCCAAAGACTCAGTCCCTTACATGTGTGTGCTATGAATGGACTGCTTGAAGTCACAAAGCTTCTGATATCCTATGGTGCTGATATTGATGCTCATTTTGACACCACAGAGGAAAGTGATGACAGCGACCGCGAACTTGACAATGACCCTGACATTGAGGATGGAAATCATGGTGCAAACAGTGATGACAATGAAGGCAAAGAAACAGAAACGTGCAGCAATCATCAAGATGGCTCTGCACTAACTCTTGCCCTAGAAAACATGAATGTTGACATTGTTAGGTTACTGGTGGAAGCAGGAATGAACTTGAACCTTGAACGTTACCTCTTCAGTGATGATGCCTCATTGGAGGAATTGTTTGATATCTTGAACTTTGACCTTGAATTAAAGATGTGGATTTTAGAGCATCTTTACAATCCTCTGCCTTTAAGCATCTTGTGCAGGCGCACAATAAGGTCACATTTCACTCACCATTGTCTCAGGTTTCAAACAGAATCATTACCGCTGCCACAGAAATTGAAATGTTATTTGAGGATTTTTCCTTTGAAACGAAATGATGAAATTTCTGGAATTTAGTTTAGATTTACTTTCATTGTATACATGGCTTTGGATTGTTTTAAGCAGATGTTACGATACAGACACTGGCTTACTAGATATTTGCCCCTTTTTGTGGTAGTGATGTGACAAAATGTTTAAAGGTTGGAACATTTCTACATTCTCACAGAAGAACATAATTATAAAGGCAGCATCAGTTACAAAACTGAAAAACATCGAAAACTGATTCCAGGATATTTACTGTATATTCTGTTGCATTTTATCTAAAAAATGTTACACAAAGATTGTAGCTTCCAGATCACTTCTGAACAGTTCAATACCTAAATGTCTATAATACTATAGACTATAATAGTATTTATTTTTAAAGTTGTAACTTCTAAAATACTTTTTTTTATATGAAGTTAAAAACTTCCAAATGATGAGTATCTTTAGATTAAGTGAAGGTGTACTTTTAGAAGTGAAGGTGCATGTTGCCAAAAAATTACAAAAATATGCATATCCAAAATTTTTAAGATGAGATACAATCTTGGTATATGATATGAAAGAGTAAAAATACTGTGGAATAGCCTTTTTCTTACTTCAAAGTTTCTTAAGTGCAAGCTTTTTTTTTATTGCTATTTGTTATATCCGCATGTTACTGAAACCTCGTGAAATCTTCCATATATTTCAATGAATTTTGAATTTTAAACTTTTTTGTAAACTGAATATTTCATGACATAAGAGTGCTGATGTACAGTTTTATTGTATAAGAAACGAAGAATGTGGAGCAGAAATGTTCATTAGCTTGGTAGTAAGATTGTTGTATGTTGGTATATAATGTTACATGTTGAAGACTTGGTGTTCTTGTTAAATTTTCATTGGTTTACATGAATAACATAGGTGCATACCATTATACATTGTTTGCTGTTACTTTATTTATGTATGTTGAAGAAGTTTATCTCAAATAAAATGTTTGAAAAGTTTTTAAAATGCAATTCTGTTCACATTCACCGGGATAAATATCTTAGTTAGAATTACCAGTCTATCATTCTATGAGGTCTATTTTGAATTATTTCTGTAGAAGTTGCCTTTAATACATCCACTGAAGATGGACTACAATTGTTTTATAAGTTACTGACCTTCACATCTAAAGCCATTTACATATGGTTTTGAATTTCAATGTATCTTTTCAGTAGCCTCATTTGAAAATGTTCCAAAGTCATATTTCTCGTATACATATCCTGCAAAGCTACTTGTTGTCCCCAATTCAGACCTTAAAAATATTCATTTTCCATGTCAGCTAGATCTCTTTACTAGAATTTTTTATGCCAGTTGGGGTACTAATTTCACTCGAAAAAAGGAATTGGGGGGGGGGGGAGAGAAAAAATTTTTTAAAAAATTTCCAAGAACATAATGATTTGAAAATTTTACCTTTTTTCAAGATTATATATATATATATATATATATATCATCTAATAATTAAAAATGGAGATTGTTCTTTCTAATTTTATTTCATTTATCATTTCAGATATGGTTCTTTGCTGTACAAGAATTCCCAGGGTCAGGTGCAGGTACTAATACATAGAGAAAATACTTGCCTAACTGCTTTGCCTTCAGGTCCCCATGGTCAGTGTGTTAACATTGGTGTAAAGCATTTCATGTCATAGGATAGTAAAATATAAACTTTGAAATATGCAACATATTAGCTTGAAGAAAATTTTGAGAAAGTTTGGACCAGGGCCAGTGACCCACGCTTTCAAAGGAGCCGTGGTTGTCGGTGCTTCCAGAGGGATCGGACGTCAGATTGCAATCACAATTGCTTGTGAGGGCTACCAGGTAATCGCGGCAGCAAAGACTATGGGCAGTGATCCCACCATTCCAGGATCTCTTGTCGAGGTTTCAAACACTGCTTTAGAGCAACATCAGAGTCTTGTTACCCCAGTTCACTGTGACGTGGGAAAACTTCAGGATATTCAGACATTGGTGAACTGCGCTGTGAGAGATTTCAAGGGTTTGGACTTGGTTGTTTACAATGCTGGGTCTATACTGTGGGACAATGTTAGGGATCTACAAATCAAAGATGCTGATTGGACTAAGGATGTTTATGTACAGGGTGCGAAAAACGTGATAGAGTGTGCTCTGCCACATTTACAGAAGAGGGAAGGGGGAAGGATTGTATTGGTTGCACCTCCTGTTAATTCCAGGTAATGTATCCGTTTCTCCTTTAAAGTCATTTCCAAAAATTGAATCTGAAAGTTATTGTAGTTGAGTATATTATTTATTACTATTAGTTCATATATTCACTTTACTATATAGACATTTACCGGGTATGTAAGAAATTGCGATATGACTTTGTTTTGTTTTGCTCTTCTGAATCAGTCCTTTTTTTTAATCAAGTTTTCAGTACTTTTTTTAGGAATGGAATTAATAACTATATACAGTGCATTTAAAATGTTATCTTTTTAATAAATTGATGCATTTCAGCCTTTAGAAATAGCAGTAATTTGGATTTATCTCAGTAAACATAAAAACATATATATTTTAAAAAGAACCCACATTTTGATTTGTTTTATTGAACGTCAAGTTAAAAGTTGTCACATCACTTCAGATACTACATTGGCCAGACTCCATATGCTGTGGGCAGGTATGGAATGACTAGTTTGATGCAGGCCTATGCAGAACAGTTAAAAGGAACAGGTAAAAAAATTAGAATATGGAGTGAAGGAAAATGTCAGGTGTTTACTGTATTTGGTGATCAGAAGTAAATGTAAATGGATATCAAATTAAATTATTGTTTTTCTTTTTATCAAGAGCTTATAAAATATGTGGGTATTACCTCCAATATTTCTGTGACTGTCAGTCACCATTATCGGGGAGTAAATGACTAGGTAAATGACAGAAATATTGGAGGTAATACCCACATTTTATAAGCTCTTGTTAAAAAGAAAAACAATAATTTAATTTGATACATACAGAGCTTATGAAACTTTTCTCTCATAAATGGATATTGTTGTTTAAATGAGGGAAGTAATATTTTTTTAAAGTGATAATTTAACCCTAATTTTATCTAAAACATTTTGGAAAGGTATTTATTATTTAAAGTTTAAGCTTTAAAATTTCATAAGTAAGATGAAGTTATTTTAAAGTAGCATTCAGAAAAGTTTTTTTTTAATAAAAAATACCATGGAGTAGATGCTTCATTGCAAGTTGTCAACACCCCCCACCCCCACCCCCCATGAAATCCTTTTAAATCAGTTGACATTAAAGCAGTGGTTGAAAAGGTATAACATAAGCCAAAGACTTATTGCAATCAAGCCTCGACTGCCTGTAGTGAGACCTAAAGCCAGTTTTGTTAAAGCCAAAATTATGGATGCTTTTGTTAGTTATTAATTGATAAGCAAGCATTTTATGGGTTCTTTCCAAGCTTTTAAATTTGTATTATTTCAGAAATAAGTGTAACCTCAGTGTGGCCAGCGACAGTGACTGAAAATCCTGTGTCAATAATGAAGGATGTGGACCCAAAGTTGATGAGAAAAGACTCCCTTTTGGCAAAAGCTGTTACTCGTATAGCAATGGAGGAAACAGATAGGTAAAGAGATTTGCACCCCATCCCTCTCTCCCCTCTCTTCCCCTTCTCCCCCTCTCTTTCTCTCTCTCCCTCACTCTCTCTTTCTCTCTCAAGAAAAAATACAAGTTAGCAGTGTAACAAACTGTATTGATACATGGTTGGCATACATGCGTGATTGACTACTTCTTTGTCAGTTACATCTTTTCTACAAATGCTTTCTTGATTTTTATTAAAAATTTTCATACTATACTATACTGATCAGTTTGTATATAATTTCTTCAAGTTAAAGATCTACCCATCCAAGTCATCTTAAAATAGAATATTCATCTCATGGTATCTTATGCACCAGCATGAACTGATGAAAATGGTACATATGGCTATAAATATATAAGAATATGACATGAGAATACAATACAAAACACCAAGCAACTAAACATGACAAATGTGTAATTTGGAATGATTGAAAAGACATTTTGGACATTTGTTTCAGTTTAAATGGCCAAGCACTTATTGACGAAGATTACCTTTGCTCACTGGGAGAGAACGACTTCTCAGAGTTTCGCTGTGATCCTGACAACGAGCCTCCACGCATGTTGCCAAAGGATGACGCAGATCTGTCTGGTGGTGCATAGTGACGTGGTATAACAATAAAAGGATTTTGTTTGTTGTTTATTCAAAAACATAAGTGAGTGATTCCAGTATTGCAAGGTGTTACCGTGTAAGCTGTAACATTTGGAACACATTAGTTTCTTAATGACAGAAACGGAAAAATTTAACTGTGTTATCACAAAATGTTTGCTTTTGTTAAGTTTTTCTTGAACTGCACTAACTGTTTGTCAGGGAATTAAATTGGATGTTGAGACTTTGAGTTCATAGAAAAATTGGATTGCTGAAGGCGGAAGTTTGTAAGTTTGAGAATAGATAATGTTGTGTAGATAAGGCATCTAGTCATATGTGCACAAATGATTTTCTTTCAAAAACTGAAGCTGAAATTAGATTGCAGGTCCAGTAATTATTTGTGACATTAGATGATTAAAATTGGTTAAGAGATTAGATGAATGTGTTACATGTGGAGTGATCGTTAATGATAAATAAATAAATATAACAGAGAAAAAATGTTCTTATGATTTTGTTTTTATTTTATTTCAAGTTGTGTTTGCTATGCTTTATATTTTAAAAAATTTTAGCACTTTGAAAACAACAAAGTTATACTGAAAATGTCTGAATTGATTCTCGTTTTGAAATATCTTCTAGGTCTAGAGTTTCTAAAGTTCAATTTATTATCTTCAAGTTGATAAATGTGATGAATTTAAAGTAAAATTTTATTTCAAGCATGTTAAATTGTCAGAACAAATACATTTTTCAGCATGCCAAACAATTGACCTCTAGCATAGAAATATTACTATAATTATCAAACAATTTGACAGTTTTGTCCCTGTAACTTGCATCAAATGAATGAAATGTTTGGTGGCTTTGGACAAGGATTCACCTCGGATAAATTTTCTGCTGGAGATGTTCAACAGTCTCACGACTGTCTTTGATTTTGAGTGCTTTTCTGGCATTCAAACCATATTTAAATGAAAATAATTATGTTTTATAAACAAACTATTAATATTTACTCAAACCAACTTAATATTTTTCATTAGAGGGATAGACATTCTGACTACTTTAAATTTTAACAATATAAATAGACAATATAAATAGGAACTGCCTCTCAAATAATCGTAAATAAGAGAGACATAATTTTTATTTCAGGTAAAAGGTAGTGCTAGCTGATTTGAAAGAAAGCTCAGGAGAAGGCCAAAGCAAAATGGCAGCATCGAAACTGAGAACAGCGTTAGTTATTGGAGCCTCCAGAGGAATAGGGCGCCAGATTGCTCTGACTCTGGCAAAAAACAACTTTCAAGTTGGAGTAGCAGCAAAAACTGTTGTAGACAACCCTCTTAAGCTATCTGGAACAATTATGGAAGTATCCCAGACAATTAAAGAAACTGATGGCTTTGCAGTTCCTATAAAGTGTAATGTAAGGGATGAAAAAGAAATAGAAGTTGCGGTAGATACTTGTCTGCAAGTGTACAATGGATTGGATTTAGTTGTTTATAATGCAGGGGCAATAATGTGGAATAAAGTTGTTGAAACACCACTGAAGAAATTTGACTTGATGATGGATGTGAATGCCAGAGGGGCGTATGCTGCTGTACAGAAAGTGCTCCCATACATGTTGGAGAAGAAACGCGGGAAGATAATTTTGGTGTCACCTCCAATTTACAGCAGGTAATGATAATATGTATCTTTGTTAGTGTGAATGTGTTTGTTTGTGCATGTGTTTGCTTTTGTATGTAGGTCTGCATTTGCTGGGATGGATATTTTAGATGATTTTCAAATTTGTTTGTATGTTGGGATGTTTTACCTCTATTTTGTGGGGTTTTTATATCAGATTATGTAATTATGTAAAGAAGAAGTATTTTATTTCCATGAAGTAATTTTCAACTTTTAAATTTATTTGATTTCTACAAAATATAGGTCAGACATGTAAATATTTAAATAAAAGGGGAACAGAAAATGCCTTAAAAGTCCTATAAGCAGCTATTGCTGTGGCTAGGTCACATACTGTGCTTCCAAGCCAAAAGTATTAATATTGTTGTTGTTGTGTACGGCAGGTTCTTCAAAGGTAAAACCCCGTATGCAGTAGGTAAAGTTGGTATGACAGTCCTCACCCATGGTCTGGCAGAGGAGCTGAAGGGAACAGGTGGGTTGAAAACTGTTTGGTGGCTTCATATTATGAAATGGAATATATTATTCCAGAACTGTCTAATAACTAATGGGAAATGTACATATTTTTCATACTGTGACAGGAATGCACCTCAATGCCTCTACTGTAAAATTACTTTAATAAAAAGTAAAATTTATAGTGTTTTTATTAAATTTCCAAGTGTGGCAAAAAAACTGATGTAAAGTTCATTGTTATGGTTACCCTAGTTATATGACTGACAGACAGTGTGGTTCAAGATATAGATTTAACAGCCCTGTGTTTATTGTGGAAAGTCACATTTTTATAATAATTTAAGGTGTGAGCATCACTTCCCTATGGCCAGCCACAGTTATAGAAAGTCAAGTGACAGTGGTCAAGAATGTGGAGCCAAGATATATGAGGAAGTCCACCATATTTGCTGATGCTGTTCTTAGCATTGCCAATGAAGAAAGTGAAAGGTAGAGTAGTTATTTTGGCTCTATTTTTTTCAGCAGCATTTAGCTATATTTTTTTGTTTATTGTTGAGCCTACCTTTTATTATCTTTTTATACAAATTATCACCTGGTGGGCTCTCTGTAGCATGATTGTTGTTTTTAAAATAAATGATCAACATTTCATAATTTTGAGTAAATATCAAGAGAATTCATTATCAGAAGTTCTAAACATATTTCCCCTTCAGTTAAGCAAAGCAGAAATGTTTTTTGCCATTGAAAAAAAAAGGTGAACCATACCCCTAATTTGTGGTTTTGTTGTTTTGTTTCTTAGACTAAATGGCCAAGCTCTTATTGACGAGGACTACTTGCGTTCAGTTGGTGTAACCGATTTCGTCCAGTATCGCTGTGATCCAGACCACGAGCCTCCTCGCATGATGCCAAAGACATTTCCATCTCTTCTTGTAGAGGAGGAAGACCAGAACTTGAACAACATTATGGGACCAAAGTTATAGATTGTACATTTCTCTGCTTTCAAGGATCATTACATGTATCTTTTGATTTTAAAACCTAAAGGTTCTGACAGTCTGGGAGCCTGTTTTGCAAGAAGTCTAAATTTTTTAGGCCTACCTTAGACTGACATCACATAACTGACCACATATAGTTGACTTTGTAACATTGATTCAAAAGTGAACTATATGGTCACCATTGTGAGGAAAATCATTTTCAAGACAATCACAATGTGATCTGGGAGCTTTATATCAACACAAATAAATGGCCTGTAAGATTCCCACATTCATCTCGAGAATGGCTTTAGTTATTGGAGTCTCCAAGGGAATGGGCCACCAGATTGCTCTGACTCTAGTGAAAAACAACTTCCAAATGGAACTGTTGTAGACAACCCTAAGCTTGCTGGGACAATAAAATCCTTTCATATCGAACCCCCTCAACAATGACTTTTAATACCTTCAGTAAATTCCGTACAATCTATCATATTTATTATGTTTAACTTTCAGTTCAGTGATTTTAATAATGCATGAAGTTGCATATTTGGTTTATTGCCATGGTTTTTTCGGTATATTTAAAGACTTTTTTCTAACAACCAGCGAGTTTTTCTTAGCTTTAGCAGTCTGAGAGCCTGGACTCTTTTCTGTGGGACGTAGGATGCTAAATAAAGATTAAGTCATTGAATCCTAGATCCGTGAGATCGCGTTACCCATGTGAAAGTTTAAAATGGATGGCCAATTTTAGCTTTTCTAATTTTTGTGCATTCCTGGATCAGGTGCAAATGTGCATATGTGTGCATCTCATTGCTTGTTCATTTCATGCGTGTGAGTGAGGAACATTAATTGATTTTGAATTTATATCTGAATACAGAAGTGTTCTGTTGCCTGTCAGCATGTAGGAATGCACAAGCTATATAAATCTGTCTGTATATATAGCTGTCCTAGTATATCAGGTGATAACACAAGTGAATAACACTACTCAGACTACTGTGTCACATGCCAGTGTCTATATTTGACCTCAAGCTCATCATAGATATAGCTTACATGCTGTAGTTTGGCTTAAGAGAATACAAACTGTCCTCTCTTAAAACTTAAAAAAAAAAACTTGCAGGATGACAATGGATTGTTGGATAAAAAATAATGGGGGCCAGTGACATTTGTTTGATTAGAATAAATATTTTTTAGACTTAAAACAGTTGTTATCAATTAAGTGTCCTATTCTGCCACTTTGAGCAATTTTGTAATTGCATGAGGTTAAAGGCACATTTTACTTCTTCGAAGATTCATGACAGAGTATAATTGACTCTTATGTAAGTTTTTTTCTAAATCTAGGGGTCCTTAATAACAGAAAAAAGAAATGCTTAAATCTTTTTTTTTTTTTTTTTTTTTTGGGGGGGGGGGTGCAGAGGGGTTTAAAAAATTCATAGACATGCAACCACTGCTGCAGTAACTATTAAGAAAGATACAGCTGGAACAAATCCAATGTTTATCTTCAATGTTTACATGACAAATTAATTATAAACCCTCAATGATAGCTGACAACAGACAAACAATAGACACCTGTTTGTTTGATGGCATATCATATCTTAACAGGCCACTTGAGTGAGGTGTCAGAAGTACTTTGTATCTGGTAGATTATACATTGACATGGATTATGTACCTTCATCGCCAAACAAGGGGTTTTGGGCTGTTCAGCATATTTATATGCATGAACTCCTACATCCTTTCATATTCATTAAATATTTTTTAAAGTAAATTTTCACTCTGGCATAATGATTTACGGATAAAAGAAATATGTTAAAAGAAAATAATTGGGATATTTAAATTGATGTAAACCAATTTGATTATGATCAGAATCAGTTCTTCGGTCTTTGTGACCGTAAAAATATAATGTGTTGAAAAACACCTGCTGCTCATCACATTGCCAAGGAAGAGACGTGAAAAAGAGATAAATACAGAAACAAACTTGACTGCAATTTATTCTCTTGCCATCACCAAAATGAATCTGGCTCATTCTATCGGGCCTAATGTAAACAGGGTCACATTATAAGCACTGGTCTTTTTAAGAATGTGACTGTCCCCAGTTGTCATTGATAACCCAGATATTATTGACATACAGTGAAGGTCAGCGCAGAATTAGGTTAAAGGTATACTGTCCTAGTTTGAAAATGTCCCAATGTCACATTTTCTGTCGATATATCCTGTAAAGCTACTCATATTTTCTTCAAAATCAAAAAGTATTATTAATATGATAAAAAAACCTTCAAATAAAAATGCCTGATGTCGACATTTCCCTCTGTTATGAACAAGAAGCCATTAAAGGGGACAGAACTGAATAATTTAATTAAAAATCGTATAAAACGCGTCGAGCTATGAATCACGAGTTGGAGAAATTTTTCTTTTTTTTCATAGAAAATTCCATTTGGCGGGAAAATATCGGATAGGATACCGCAATTCGACTACTTAACACAGGATTTTCACCGTTTGAGAAACAAATTTGTAACCTCTAGGCTTAGATATGTTATAGTTCTACTTTTGAATAAGTACGTTGCAAGGCCTTCTCTGCACTGACGCGACGAGGTGGGAAAGTGTCAAAGGAATATTTGTTCTTTCTGTGCTGCCGCACTGAATAAGTCTGCAGGTTGTGCACATAAAAAAGAACAGAGTTGCCTGGGTGATTTCAGTCTACAATGCACCTTGGTTTAGGCATGTACATATGAATTTCTGAATGTCCCACTGATGCACTGTATATGGGCTAGCATTAAACTGAATTTTATTTCAACAATATTGAAGGTGTTCACGGGAATCTGGGGATGAAAGATACCTCGATTCTGCGCACCAGTTATCTAAACCTGTAGTAAGCTTGCCCATTCTGAAGGAGCCTTTGCCTTCCTAGCGGCCACGAGAGGGCGTGTCGTTGCTTTGGGACTAGAGCATTTATAAAGCCGCCCACCTCGTTACTTATCTCCATCAGTGTTGACAAATATGATAGCGTCTAAAATGTTGGCTTGGTTTTAACACAAAGGAGTATTGTGATGAGTATTGTGATGATAGTATTTGTTTCAGTAAATCAGTGGACAATATATTCTTTGATGTTTGTGTAGAATTCAACAAATGGGTTTTGATAATACGAACTCCTGACAAAAAATACTTTTCCAAAGGTTGGAATGACTAATATTCCATTTTTTTGTGGAAATCACTTAAACCAAGAAAGAAATTTATCACCAAAAGTAAAATAAATAAATGATTACACTTTTTATTAATTTTGTGATAAAAAATTAAAGAAAAATGTAACGTGAAACGATAAATTTCAGAGTTTACATCAAACCAATAGAAAGCATATCCAAAGGACCAGGAAAAGATCTGTTCAATTTAACCTGTTCACAGTGGGCCTGCTTCGTATGTATCGTTGCCAAATAAAACTACTGCTAGATAACACTATGGGTGTGGATTTGGCATAAACATGGAAGAGGATGACACCACTGTTATCTAGCAAAGCTCTGTTCAGACTGGCCAAGTTATCACGGTTCACATACGGTTCCAATTCCCCTTATATAAGTGGTGCTGTCATCACAGAAAGAGAAAACTGTTCTACTGTAAATAAAATATATTTAAATAGGGTTGTGGATTGCTGATATGGCTACCTTTGAGAGCCTGGGTACCTGAAACTGCTGATGACTAACAAAGGACCTAAATTAGTTTAAACTTCTCAGTGTGAACCGGTCCTGTGAGTTCAGGTAGCGTCTCAGATAATCCGTCATCAACAGATGTGCCGATTCACGGGGACGAGCACATTATTTTGTCAAGAACACTTTAGGTTGCCAGTTTTTTATATAAAGGGCTGCAGCCCTAATAGGTAAGTGTATAAGAAATAATTATTAATTTGTGAATGATTAATTATTAGCTATTGCATTACGTTTTTTAACTAGTTAAGATGGGAAGACCATATATTATGGCAATTAGATTACTCATTTACTATTGCGATATATATCAATTTGTTGTGCTGGGCAGCACCTATCACATTGTTAAAATTTAAACACTTTATTGTTGTTTTGATATAACAAAATTAAAGAACAAAAAACTGAACCCAGCTACATGCCCTGAAATTCGTCTGAAGCAGAAAAAAATTCATGAATTCTTTTTAAAAATATTTATATAGTGGAATTTAAAGGAATGATGGTTATGAAATATTGGTTAGATTTAGTAGTTGTATGGTCTCACAATCTAAAGCATGGCTCAAGAATGTAGAATGTAAATGTGAAATGCTTGCCAAATTTTATAGGATGATTATACTCTGACTAGAGAAATGACACGTGCATGGATGCCTTATTTTGAAAGTCTTGATTTGTACAAAATGGCCATATATTTAAATATTAGATAATTATATAAATTTGTGAAAAAAAACGCGCCATTTTAGGCCCCCTATTTCTCCATCTATTTCAGATAATTCAAAAGACGCGGCTCAAATTTATAAGTTTTTCTCTCCGTTCACCACTATGAATTGGTCTATATCTACTGAACATCCAGTGACACTCATCAGTCACAAATATTACTACTGATAAAAAGGTAAAATATCTAATCTACGATAGCCGTATAATACAATAGAATTAACGTGACATGACAATCAAAATATAAAAGTCGTTGTTATTAGTCATATGTTGATCAGACTTTGTCTTTATCAAGGGCACTTGGCTTTTGTATTCCAAATGGCAACATTAATGCAGTTAGATAAGAATTAAGATACTGCTGCTGATTGGTAATGCACCAGATTACAGTAATAGTGAAACAGCCGTAAAATTATTTTAAAACATTCAAAATTATATCATAATCACTCAGGATGGGTTCAAACTAACTTCCCTTTTGGCCAGGAAAAGGTCTGCTCTTGAAATCAAACTTTTAGGTGCTATAACATTTAAAGTAAACACGTACATGGATAATTGCTGGGCTCGAGTCTGCCACTGGTGCGACCAGGATATCAAGACAACTCCAATCCCATCCTGGGTCCATCTATTGTAAATTTTAATTAATTTAATTTAATATTATTTAATAAATTTAATATTAAAATATATGTTATTTATGCACTAGTAATAAAAGTACATCATACAGATATGTGTATTCTACCTGTTCACGCATACAAAGTTAAAATACATGAAGATAAAGCATTATTATCTCAGCGACACCTTCAAATGACCTATCTTGTATTGTGCAATTATCACATGTTCTGCTAATTGTTGATTTATTGTTTGAATTAATCTTATCAGAACACATGTGATTAGGAGTTATAACACAACTGCTGTTGGCTTTGCACCAAAAAGGATAAAAAAAGGGGGTGGATCCATAATTTGACCTTGAGAAGATTAGATCAAAATCAAGCGTGTTGGCTTAACAAATCTTTTATTTTTGATCTGTCAGTATATTTGTTTGTTCGTTTGTTCACATATTTATGTATCTTCTTTGTTTGTTTATCCAATTATATTATTTACTAAATCAATTATTAATTGAATCATTTTTTATTATTTCGGAAATTTTTCATTTCTTTATTAATTAACTATTTTATTGAATTGCTCAGAAAAGAACGAAATATTATTTTCAAATGTGTCATCAGTTGACTTCTTTTAAAGAGCAACGTTGGCCTCTCTCTTTTCTCTCTCTCTCACTCTCTCTTTATTTCTGATAATGCTTTTAGTGTCTGGCTTTTATTGTTATTTTCTACACATTTAGTGCAGTGATAACAACAAAAATGAATAGCTATACTATCTAGTGACAAATACAAACATACGTGTTTTAAAAATAACCACTCCTGTTCCCAGGTTCGAATTAAGATTCTGTCACATTATCAGATTTGTTGTCTGTGGCTGCTTAGACCTGTGGCGCATCAGTGGTCTTACTATCACACCCCTCCTATCCCCACCCCTCTTGTTTTGATATGCTTGAGAGATCTATCTTTCTGTGTCATTACAATAAATGACACAAACTGGTATCATCTTTTTTTTTTCATTACAGAGGATAGAATATCAATATGGCTTCATCAGCTACGTGCTCTGACCACTCAAACACATGCCCAGTTTGCCTTGACCACTACGACTTGACAAAACGTGTCCCCAAGTTTCTGTCGTGTCACCACACTGTGTGCTTGTCGTGTGTCCAGCAGCTGAAGGGGCTGTACAAGTTGTCATGTCCGGTCTGTAGAGAGAGCACCTGTCTCCCCATGGGTGAGGTTCAACCTGTCGACTAAAGCTGTGTTCAATCTAAAAAAAGATTAAATTTGTGTATTTAATTGTTCATATGGGTTATTTCACTTTCTTTCTTTGTGTGTGTGTGTGTGTGTGTGTGTGGTAATTAATATAAGTGTAGAAACTGTGTTATAGTAAGTCCAGATCTTCACCATTATCTTAATTTTTAAAACACAAACATACCAATTTATTAAAAAATGCCCCAGTTGTTATTACAAATAATTGTAACAATTAATCTGTAAATTGATACTGAAATTAGATCTTTGACTTTTTTCACACATCTTGCAGGTGGCCCTGAGAAATTGCAGACAAACTTTTACCTTAAAGTTGACAATGAGGAAGGATGCCTAAAACACAAGAATCAGCCATATTTGTTCTACTGCGCCACCCACAAAACCCTTGCTTGCCAAGCGTGCACCATTTTAGACCACAAGGAGTCCAAGCAGTGCGAACTGCAAGACCTTGAGCCAGCATTGAAAGCAACAAAAATGAGACTTAGAGAAAAACTTAGTGTTTTACAGACCAAGAAGGGTCACCAGAGTGGTATTTTATCGGATGTAAATAAAAAGATGGAGTTTTTAAATGCAAGTAAGCAAAGCGCAGAGAGGGCCATAGACACAACTTTCCATCAGTATTTAAGTGTCATCAGGAAATATCAGCAGACAACGAAAGAAAATCTGCAACAGTCTTTCACTCAAAAACATAAGACTCTCAGTAAAAAGGCCAGAGCAGCAGAGACACTTATTGATGAGTTGGAAACACATATTTCCGAAATTGAAGATGCTTTACACAAAAATTGCATTTCAACTGCAGTTGCTGTGGAAGCAGGTCTTCATGACGACACCGATGCGACTAAGACTGGTTCTCTTTTACCCAAAAGGGCTTCAAATGAAAGTTGGCTATGCTTTAAAACAAACTCTCAGACAAACCTTTCACAGCTTGAAACTTTTCTCCAATCTGCTGGGCAGATCCATTATATACCATTGCCAAAAGTCGTTTTCACAGAAAAACCAGAGAATGTCCAAAAATCAGACAAACCTCCGTCGATTTCTTTCAAAATAACCCACGGGACATCAGACGTTGAGGTAGACTATTCGCATTTGTTGCAAGTTTACATTAAAAAACCAAGTGGGAAAAGACTGAAGGCTAAAAAACTGTCGTGTCTTGGCAATGGTGACTATCGTGCCCTCTTTCCGAGAGACCTGCTCTACGAGGGTGCATATTCAGCAGAGGTCACTCTTGCTGACGAAAGACTGGAAGATGGACTAGTTACATTTTCTGTTAAATAATAGGGCAAAATAATTCAACATTGAAGGAATACCATAATAGCAAAATTAGTGGGATTGCTAGCATATGTGTAATAGGCCTACTGTCTTAAATACCACTGAATAACTGCAAATACCTTTTTTCTGTTAGTTATCCAGAATTGATTTAATTTAGGTTTTCAGAATTTCGAATTCATTTGCGCATTATTATTATTTTTTTTTTTTACGCGTAATACATTGAGTTCTTTGATTTGTTTCCGTGGAAATTTTTTTCTACGAATATACAGAACAATGTGGTAACAACAGGAAAAAGTCCCTCCTTTGTCTAAATATCTCCTTTTGTTCAAAATTGAAACATGGAACTGGAATTTGAACATGACAATTAGATAAGTTTAGAAAGTTTAATATACAAAAAGTTTATTATAACAGTTGTGATGCTGATCATGCGTAAGGTTTTTCGGCAGTGGAGTCCCTGAAAATATGAATATCTGTCACTATGTCAGTAAGTCCAGTTGGCACGGTGAATCTAAATTACACTGTAGTTTAAATTCAACATTGTTTTGTTTTAAAAGCCATTTTCTGTCAAACATTATCTAACAGATGTGATGACGTTAACTGAAATTGACTGTTCTATGTGCCACTGTGCCAAGTAATGCATGCGAGGATTGATTGAATTTCCTCTTGAAAACCTTTGCTTTACGCCCAGAGGCAACGCGCTGGATGAAACAATCTACAGTGTACTCGGTGTATTGACATATAGACTAATACACACAGCAACTATCAGGGTATGTCTTCCAGGAACCATATATTGTTATTATAGATCAAACAGAAGCTGTTAATGAATAAACAAATGATAAACAAATCACATGTTATCTTTGTTTTCGATAACAGCACCAACTGAGACCAGCTATGCTGATTTACACCAGATAACTTCAGATTCTGGTTAGTTTGATCCAAATTCCAGTTTCACCTTTGACACTGTGGGACGGGGGATATTTAGTTGGCCCAGGAGGTGCTTTTGTTTTATGAAAAATAAGAAAGTTCTAAGGCAATATAAACTAGAGAAGCACTCAGAGAGCACAAAACTTCGCCAAGGAGCTTTTGTTTTTGGTTCGGTTAGTGTGTTCGTTACCTTTTCAGTCTGTTAGCAACACTAGGCCTGTGCAAAGCACTACGGATGTATTTTGATGAACTTTTCAGGATAGATCAGAAATGGGTTAACTGAAAAGTAGGCCTAATAAGCTTTTTGTGGTGATCCGTATCATCATCCAGTAAACCACGGCATTGGAAAGGCCTCGTTTGCTTCGTCTTCTCTGTCTGTCCCGTCACACACGCGCCGTTATTAGGTCCCTCAAGTCAGTTTCCGAAAACGTTCAGCTAAATCCGTATACAATACTGTACATGATGTTGCTAACAGACAAACAGACAAACGGACAAAAAATGAACGGAACCAACCTCCTTGGCTGTGCAATTACGTTCAACCAACTAGGGAATTATATCGGATATAAATCCCTGATCCAACGTTGTGACCATGAAGTCTGCAATTTCAAACGAATCCAGGTGGACTCATAGTTTTATCCCGTGTTAACGGGTTGTCATTGAGAACTGTCAATCAAACTATTTTATCTTCGCATGATTAATGCTAGTAGTTTATCTGTTATTTAACAGCACGGCACATGAACAATCATTATAGGGAAGCAAAGTGGAAGAAAGAACGTTTACGAGCCTTGAAATGGCAAGATTATCTTTAAAGAGCACAAGGTATGGGATCTTAACTTTTATGTTAATGAGTTACTTTTCTGATCTTATAATATATGGGATTTTACAATAAAAAAGAATAAAAGCAGGCACATTGTGACTAGCTTTAGCCGCCACAGGAACATTGGTGTTTTCATTAATGCTCAAAAGTCAAGTAATTATTGCAATATAACTTTTTATCAACTTTAAATTGTTTCTTGCTACTAAAAGAGGCTAGAGAAAACTGCTTCAAAATTGAATTTATTATTTATCACTGTTACTTTATTAGGAGACGTAGTCCTTCTTTCTATGAGGGCATTTTTGATGAGGAAGAGTTGCTAAGGTATTTGAATAGAACTTTTCTGTCAAAATAACATTTTCTCTACTTTTACAAATGGGATTGTCCAACAAGAAAATCAGGCGAAATTGGACCTCTTCAGGAATCTCAAGTTTGGTGCTTTCAGTTATCCTAAAAAAAACAAGTATTTATTGGAATTTACCGTTCTATCAACTGTAATCTTACAAACAAATTTGCATTTTCTTGGTAGTAAAATGGATTATGGGACATTTAAATTTGAACATAGTCTATTACTGTTGTATCTTCATTAAGTGACTTCGATCTTTCTAGATTGGAAAGGTTTATGAATGAGGACATGGATGTCCACAGAGATGACAGGAAGTCCCTATTGAAGGAAAACAGTTGTCAGGCAATTTGTCCGGTGTGTATTTGTCAGTACGATGACTGTGTACACATTCCCAAGTTTCTTTCTTGTCATCACACCATTTGTGTCAAGTGTATCAGTAAACTTGAAATTGTTTCGAGAATCAAGTGTCCCGTGTGCCGTTCTAACACCAATCTTCCCTCGGGAGGCGCTGCAGGGCTCCAGACCAATTTCTACATAACGTCCAATGCAGAAGAAGGCTGCACTAAGCACTCAAACCAACCTTTCCATTTCTACTGCAAAACTCACCAGTCACTTGTTTGCCAGTCGTGTACCGTTTTAGAACACAGTCCAACTCCAAGGGACGGCCAAAAACCCTGCCTACTTCAGGACAAAGCAGAATTAAAACAAGAAATCAGAATTGAACTAGAAACTAAACAACAGGAGGTCTGCAAAGCAAAAGACACATTCCATAGTATTCAGAATAAAACTACCGACCAAATCCAACAGTTGAAAGACATGAGAGAACAGCAAATCTGTAGTGTGAAGAAAACGTTTGACGGCTACGTGAAATACGTCGAAAAATGTCGCGAAGAAGCATGCCAAAATATAGAGACCGAGTATAGTATTAAACTGAATCAGTTGCAAACTGCTAAAACAGACGCAGGAAAGCTTGAGAAAAAGATGGAGAGTCATTTAGAAAAAATTAAAGGTGTACTTGAAAAAGACAAAATCCAAAATCTTTTATTAGAGAAAAAACAACTAGCTCATATTTCTTCGAAAAACCATGAAATCGAGCGTTTGGAAGCTGTCACCAAAGGAGTGGCTGCATTGCACTACACTCCAGCATACGCGTCTGAAGATGAACTCAAAAAACATTTCAGTCCAGTTGGGAAGATTCAGTAATTTCTTTTGCATTCAGGCTATTATATGAGAGAATTTTGGCAAAGAGTGAATGTAGAGGGAAAGAAAATGGACATAGAGACAAGACACTCTCGAAAAGTTAATAGAATTCTTCTCGCTGGGTGGCAGTCTAGAGCAAAAACATTAGTTGACCCGAGTAACTTTTGTCCTATTTATCTGAGTATACAGTATTTAATCCTATCCAATTGAAAAATGCACATATACAGTACATACATGTATATATGATAAGACTGCAGACATGTAATAGTAATACATGTACACCCGAATCAAAGCTCTTGGCTATTTTAATATTTTAAGAAAGTTCTAATTGTCTTTATATAGTCCTGGCGCTTGTAAAACAATTTCAGAAATAAAATTAACTGAAAATTAGATCAATTGAATGATGGTTACATCTGGTTTTATCTAAATATAAGGCGTTTTGTGAATCTAATAATAATTTAAATGTTACCGTTTGCAGTGAAACCAAAATCACTTGATGAAATAATTTCAATAAAATACTAATGACTAACCATACGATTCTGAAAATGAATTTTTTGTTCGAAATTTCCCACGTGTCTTGCGATATTCACAGATGACCTTGACCATCATCAGCCAATAAAATCATTGACACGGCGACAAGCCCATTCTGATACAAACATATGGAAATCTATCTTAAAGAGCTGGTAACATAACTTGACATTTAGTGTGGGTCACGAATCTTTAGCTCCTGTTACACTAGTTTTGCAGTCGCTCGAAGAACAAAACATTTAGTCCACTCTCAGAATGATTTAGCAAATCACAATGAATAATTGTAGATTGCGTCAGGTGTCCCGTGTTGGAGGATGTTACAGAGAGGAAAGCAATAGCTGGCAAGGACCACTGTCAGCACTGTTAATTTGCTGATTCAATTAAGATTTACATGTATTTTGCCACCGGGGAAGGATATCCTCATATATCTAAGTAGTAATAAGTTTCAAGCTTTTAACATCGTCAAAACTAAGAAATAGACAATAAAAGAAAGTTGCCCTATAAGCAGTACGGATGACGTGCAGAAGTCGGTTATAGGCCTACATGTATCATGATGACACAGCTTTGGGCCGTTTCACAGTTGGGATCAATACAACACAGTACTCTGTTGTTAATGAACAGGTATACCGGTACCTCTACTACTTCAACTTAAACGATGTACAAAATAGCGTGACAAGTTAACCACTATCCTCTACCAGGGCTACAACGTTTTCAGTACATATTCACAGATATATATGTCACTGGCTGATTCATGAAACGATTCTCTATTGCTGTGGGAAATGTGCACATAATTCAACTGCGATCCTGGACAGTGGTAGAGGGTAGCCAATCACCACCCAGCAATGGTCAGCAACCTTCCCACCTCCAGTACAATGTTGAGTCCGTTCTCAAAAGTAGCCGTTCTCTCGTTTATTCAAGCCAGTGATTGTGCGGTCATCAACAGTATGTCACTGAATTATATCTTTAAGACATAAAAACACTAAAAACTGTTGTGTCCCTGAATAAAAATCTGGTGGAAGTTCAAATATGATGGTTAAAAGGAGAGAGAGCGAGAGCTACATGTATATATATAGAGTTCTATATATAGAATATATAGAAATATAGAATCCATATTTTACCCTTAAAATAATACTCAGGTCCATTACATGCGTGTGTCGTGCTACCAAAAGAGAAGAATAAGGCCTAAGAGGAAAGTTTGGGTCTTCAATATCAATTATTAGAAAATACATATGGCAATTTCCTTAATGGTGAATAAAAATTCTGAAGAATTCATGCAGTGCGATCGGCTAAGACAAATCAAATAGGATCTATAAAGACATCACGTAAATTGATGTTATCTCAACAAATAAACAGTTATTACGGAGAATAATTCCGTTATCTTTCTGGTCTGAAAAGCAGTAAACAAAAGTGTAAGATTTCAACGCAATTCAATATTTTCTCACAAACATGATGGCATCTCTACAAAATATTTCCATGAAAATCATTTCCCGAGAAACGTGTCAGTCGTAGGTGTTGGAAAAAGTATAAAGAATGTTTTAGAATCCAAATCGTTACAGTTGTTTTTCAGCTTCTGTACAAGAAACACAAGTGTAGCAAAGAACGATAGAGATGGCTACCATGAAATGCATCGTGTTTGTTGTAATAGTACTATCCGTTTACTTGATCGAAGGAGGAGCTGGTGGATCGAAAGCGGTATGGTGTCTGTCTTCTCTCTCTCTCTCTCTCTCTCAGGCTTACTAAATCTCTTTTTTGTGAACAGTCAATTATTTGCAAATGTGTTTAAGTCTCAATCCCTCCATTTTAACGTTTGTTTACTTTGTGCATGTCATCAGAGAATTGAGAATGAGAAGGCGCGTGGCAGAAGAGCGCGGAAAATCCTAGCATCAGCAGAAGAGGTGATTGAAGCGGTCTCCAAATTGACAAATGATTCGTCTTCATCTGAAGGTATACATAAACTTCTTATATTCTAGTTCACATAATGCTACTGAACGTCCTTGCATATTGCTGATACCCTTGTTTTTTATTATTGGCAATAAAATCATATCTTAAATTTTCAACTTTGGCATGGTAAATTCGGAAAACAAAAGCAACACTGGGGATCGTTTTAAATAGTTCTCCTCGAGCAATTATACGAAAATTGCCAATATATTTTAAAAACTTACCAGATAACGTTATATATGCTTGTATTTCATGAAGGCAAACCTGTTAAAGACCTATTGGCTGAAGCTAAAAATGTCCATAATAAATTAAGAAAAAGTATGAAATCGATAGGTACGTTCGTATCGTCTTTAGTCTTTCTTGATATCTCTCTCTCTCTCTCTCTCTCTCTCTCGCGTGTTAAAAAAAAACCTGCTGTCAATTCCTTATAAACCAATGCAGGTCATCCACGAAACTTTAAATGGATAATAGTTATACCATAAATAAAATGTAGCGCCCTAGCAGTTCTTATTCATGCAAGAAAAAGTTAAATAATCTGATTTCCCATTTTTATCTAATATGAGTGTTAAATATATATTTGAATTATTCATTATATATATAAGGGAAGTTCTTAAAACAGCGACCCATGGTAGGAATGCTAAAGGTGATCAAAACGCTCTCTGAAACTGTTGGTAACGCGAGCTCTACAAACGCCGTATTGGACCTTTTGATTGGATGGTCAGGTATTGTACTTCCTATAATAGACCTAATGATTTAAGTAGTATTTCACTGAAGTACATTGATTTTTTTCTTACATTTTTAGTCTTATGCTTATGATTGACCTGGAAAAAATTCCTAATAGTTTTTTTCTTTTTTTTTTTTTTTTTTACTATGAAACCGTAAATCATAAAGCGACTCTTTCGATCCGTTAGTCTTAGACTCAAGGTGATATACAAAACCTTTATTAAGTATGATAATACAAAGCACAACGGAAAGCGTGGAGACAGTCTCCGTCAGAACTCTGAAAGTCAGGGTAATATCCCGATTATAACATTACTTGATTTAGGCCCCCTGAGCCGAGAGGGAAGCTGCGTGTCCATGACAACGAGCATGCTGTCGGACTTGGAGGGTAAATCGGTCCTTGTCGTGAAACAATTGAAGACAGAGGGAGGTAAGCGATTATCCATGTAATTTCTGAAATCTATACCCCTCCCGCCCCTGCCTCCCTTTACCAAAACAAAAGTTTGAGTTCCGTTATCAGCTGAGATGGCAAACAAAAACACACACAGATGTCCCAAGAAACGTGTCGCCCCCCCCCCACCCCCACCCCACCCCNATATATTTAAGGATCTCTCTCTCTCTCATATTAATTGGTATCGCCATCTGATGGAAAAATAGATTAGGGCCTAATCAATTGCAAAATTTCAAATGTCTCAATCGCATTAAGGTAGGCCTACAGACGAGTGCTCAGGGAATCAGGCTAAACATCTTGTTTTAACAATGAACGCAACTAAATTGATGCTAAAAAAAAAAAAAAGCAATTCAAGGCCTAATTATTGAACGAGACAGTCGCATGAAACAATAAACCAGCTTTGATATAATGAATTAAGGGAGTAGGCCTATTGTCAGTAGAAGGTGGGTACAGCGTGTCGATATGCGGTTCAGAGAAAAAACGAGAGTTGAAAAACTACACGTTTATTATCTACAGAGACTGATCAAAAACTACCCACTCAGCAGGTCGTGAATATATACAAAGTAGGCAATAGGAGGCGGAGCTAAACATAAACCCATGTCCACTACAGACATTGACATAATGAGCTTTAAAATACGTTACTACAACTGATAGTGCGCTTCGTTTGCATGGACATGCTTTTTCTATACGTTCCAACACAGCGGCCACGTGCTTTACGGGAGTGAATTATTAATATATTGTCCAACATTTAATATATTAAAGCTCTTTGGTCTCATACGACATCTTGCCCTGGCGTAAGTTAGGGTATATGTGCCAGCGTTGCCTCACACGGCACGACTTGACGTTCCAGAGTGAGACAGAGTGAGACAGACCGTTGTCGTGATCAGACCGTCTAGAGAAAATTAGATGGTAGCTTTAAGTCATCTTTGCAACATCTTCGATTGAAGCAAAGTTTTATTTTTGAAGACGTGACGCCACAACCGTTTATACAAGCGCGTATTACACAAAGTAGGCCTACGTTAACAAGTTTAATTACGGCCGCGTATTAATCAACCATCTTCGAGCATACTCCATAAAACAATACTTTTTCTGTGTTAATATCATTATATATAACCCAAAAAGGCGAAATATCTCAATTCGTACAACTATTTCTTCTCTGGAGGCTATATTTTACGGCATTGTAAGAGCACACGAGAGCACACGACGTTCGAGGCACGCGACACCGGAAACTGCTATTCATGGAGTTTGCGCAGTTTAAACTTCCTTGCACTTGGAGCACATTATGAAAGTCCTCTGTTGACTCCTTGAATGCAAAATTCTAAAATGCGCGTTCTAATAGGTAAGTAATCACTTGATATTCTTAAAGAGAATGCGATACTCACATTTACGCAATTTGAAATGGATGTCACTTGGTTTTTTCACTGATTTAGCATTGAAAAGCCAAAGAGCCCGAACTACTACTACCAGTACGGTAGTTACTTACATGAACCTGTTCTACAATTTAATATAATAAATTTAATTTCATGTCAGGTATAAATTGAAAGGAAACATTAGCTTTACAGCTATTCACCAACTGGATAAGGGCAATGCAATATTTACACATGAAGCTCACTTAAGCTCACACCTGCGACCCCCCCC